CAGCGAGAAGTAAAAAGGGGAGCTGATTTGTATGCCGTTCATTTGCACGAAGCGACGATCGACGACAAGCCAAAAGACATTGATGCACTCTCTGCCAGTGTCCCTTCCGAGCTCGCTAGACTACCCTAAACCCTAAACCCTAAGTACCTGGATATTTTTCCGGACGACCTGCCAGCTGGATTGCCACCTGAGCGCCCCCAGGACCACAAGATAGACCTGAAACCCGGCGAGCAGCCAACCGTCAAAACACAGTGGCGGCTGACTTAGCTCAAACTCACAGAGTTGCGGAGCCAGCTGGATTACCTACTGGAGAAGGGGTTCATCCGTCCCAGCACGTTCCCATTCGCAGCGCCCATTCTGTTCACGTCCAAAAAGGACGCGGGCTTTGAATGTGCATTGAATACAGGGCGCTGAATCGACGAACAATCAAGTTTCTCTACCCTATCCCACGCGCGGACGACCTCCTGGATCAAATTCTCGTGGCACGATTCTTCTCCAAGATTGACCTGCGAGGGGGTTACCACCACATCCGAGTCTTCATTAACGACTGCCACAAGACAGCATTCCGAACCCGCTACGGTATCTACGAGTACATAGTGATGCCCTTAGGCCCCCTCCACATTCTAACTGACCATGAATGGCGTGTTCAGAGACCTACTCAACAACTCTGTCATCGTCTACCTGGATGACATCCCCATCTTCAACAAGACCAAGGAACAGCACCTCAAAGACCTCGACGCGGTTTTCAACGGCTGCAGCAGAACCGCTCATCACTAAGGGCTCTAAGTGTGAGTTCCTAAAATCGGAACAGGAATTTTGGGGACACGTCGTCAGAGCGAACGTCATTAAAATCGACCAGAAGAAAATCACCACCATCCGCAACTGGAAGCCACCAACGAATGTACAGGAGCTGTAGAGTTTCCTCGGGTTCGTTAATTACGTCCGGCGGTTTATCCCCAATATGGTTGGGACAACCGGACCTTTAACTGACCTGCTGTGGAAGGGCACTTCGTTCGAGTGGGGGAAGACACAGCAGATTGCTTTTGATGAACTCAGAAATTTTCTGATGTCACCTTCGGTCCTCTGAATCGTCGATCCATCTCCACCATTCGAATTCTTGAAGGACGCTAGCGATTTTGCCAATGGCACGGCACTGTTACAGGATTTTGGTGATGGGCTCCAACCAATTGCGTACGAGCAGGGCCTCAGCTAGGATTTTGGGCATCCTGTCTACTCAGGGCTAGGCCTTGAAACCACGTGTACTGGTCAGGGTTGGACATCAATGTTCATACTGTTTTGTCAGGGTTGGCATCCAGCACTTAACTGCAGCCTCAGGGTAATCTTCAAAACAGCCCAAAATGTTGCTTTAACTATACTAATCGCAGTATAACACCAGAGACAATCAATATTCACAGTACAACAGCGTACATGTGGCTTGACTCAGAAATTTCCACCATCCTCATCATCACTAGAACTAAACCCGCTGCTGGAGCAGCTGTTCTCATCGTCCGCTCGTGCCTCATCATCATCATGCTCCTCTTCGGACAACACCACCACTTTCTCTTTGCCCTTGTCAGACTTCCTCGCACGCACTTCCCTCTGGTGGGCCCTCCTTGGCCGTCTCTTCTTCATGCCGCGCCACACCTCAATGACCCTATCCCAGTTCATGTCATACTCCAGCAAACTCATGCACATCAGATCCTCCAGCTTCCCGTTGCACAGACTCGTCCGGTTCCAGCTCTTAATCACATTTTGTCGCGAGAATCCCCTCTCGCACTCAACAGTGCTCAGAGGAAGCACTGCCACAGCCACCCACAGGCGCACGAGATTCGGGTAGCTGCGCGGCCAGTCGCTGGTCTCCAGGATGGCTGCAAGTCCGGCATGGAATGGCTGCTCCTCTTTTGGCACACCAGCAAGCACTAGCACGAGGGTGTTGAGTTCCTTGCGTGCCAGCCGCTTGTCGACTCCTGCCAGACACATACAGGAACAGCAACACTCGTAAATCAGCGCAGGGATGTGGAGGCATCAGGAACCAGAGCAATGTATTGCAATATTTCAGCAAGTTGGGCATATAATATCCATTGGCATGGATCACCTTACCTGGCAGAATTTCAACGCGGTCGCTGGCGTGGAAGAGCTCGACCACGCTGTCAAAGTGCTCGGCGCACTCCTCGTCCCTCGCCTCCGTGTTCCGCGGCCATGTTCGGGGCATCCACAGCTTTGACCCATTGAGCCGCTCAAGGTCGCCGAGCCGGAGCTGCACGTTGTAGACGAGCTCGGTCGCGTATGAGCGACAGGTGAGCGTGCAGGAAGCTTTGTCGCCGCGGGCAGTGGTGTAGTTTGGCAGTGGCTCCTCGTGAAGCTCGAATTGATGCACTCGCTCCACTCCGTCTGCATCAACGCCCTGCACGATCACATTTCGGCTGCTGGCGTGGCGCTCCAGAAACTTGGACAGGCGATCGCTGTTCGTGCCGAAGTTAGGCCCGCAGTTGACGTAGCGCGAACGAATGAAGACGATCGTTCGCCGTACCTGCGACTGCACGCCCGTCAGGTCGATCTGTAGGAGGGTGTCGTGGGATGAAAGAAGAACAAGAGGCAGTAAGTATTTTTTTTATTGACGGCAGTATGTTTTTTGTTTGAATTGGTTGGAAACCATTGCAACCGCAGTGGCTCACCTCGCGCTTCTGGAACAGCAGATTGAGGCTGTTGAGCTCCTCGTGCACGTCGGCGAGGAAGTACAGGAAAAGGTGAAACTTGTACGATGTGACGATGTGGTACATGGGTTTGTCGTAGAGGTGCAGTAGAACGATGACAGCAGGAAGCACCGCCACCAGCCTCAGAATGGCGCCGCCACGACTGAGCCACCGAGCAAGGTGAATCCCTTGCATCTCCAGATTTGTCGCCGTGAAGATCTTTTGGAGCTCCTTGAACATCTTGTGCCAGTTGTGTGAACGCCCCAGCAGCTCAGCAACCGTGCGGATGATGGCATCCACAATTCCCAGCTCAGGCAGCGCGTTGGCAGCATCTCTGGCAGCGAGGGCTTCCCTGGATGGACGGGAGTAGAAACATGACGAAACATTGGTTAGTGCACGGTTTTCTAAACGGGATATGAAGTCTATGCATGAACGAACCGATGCGCTATGCAGTGGACAGAAACCACATGCGGGATCCGCTGTCGAAGGCGCCCAACGACCCCGTTCGTGGCTCCAACCATCACAGCGGCACCGTCGGTGCTGATGCCCGACACCTTCGAGAGACTGATGCCGATGCTATCGAGGTAAGCGACAAGAGAGCCTTCCAGAGAAGCTGCATCACATTTGTCGACAGGAAGAAGCGTTAGAAACTCTGTGACAACGACGCGCTCGCGAAGGAACGTAGCAAACACAATCATGTGTTTGCCACGAACTCTGTCGGTACTCTCGTCACAGCTCAAGCCAATGAACGGGCTTGACTCCAAGTACTCCCGTTGACGAGCTCGAAGGTACATGGCTGTCGACTTGGTTAACTCCTGAAAGCCATACCTGCGCAAACCATGCAGGGAGATTAGTACATGCGAGAGATCAAGACATGTTAAAGTAAACGAATAAAACACCCAGGGACTTACGTTGTGAAGTAAGACCCGTAGCCTCGTTTGGGAAAACCAGGAGTACGTCGCTTCGAGAGGTGCCGCACGAGTTGCACCCACATCTCGATGGGCGCGTCGGACTGACAGATGAAAAGCAGAGTCTCCAGCAGTGCAGTAACACGCTCGCGCTGGACGGTATGTGTTTTTGCCAAGTCCTCCATGCGCAGCTGCCCCTCAGCGATCGCAGTGGCGGTGGCTTGTCTCCGCATCGCTCTCTTGTGCTTCCGCGTGCGCTGGTGGTTCTGCATCGCTTGCGTCTGGACGTCGGTCGCACCTTCTCCGCCCTTGCCGTAGTTTGTTCCGGGCCCGCCATGTTCCATGCAAATCTTACACTTCAAAGCCGGGAATCCTGCACGGGTCTGATTAAGCACAAGCCAAGGAAAGTCAGTACTCCACCGCTTTTTAAATTGCAAGAGAGCCTCCTGGTACTTTCGTTCGGCCATGTCTTCAAGTTCGGTGTCCGATGACGAAGTCGGAGCTGCAGATGGTCCTGAAACAACGGGAGGGACGACATGCAGAGTCGGAGCAGGAGTGTTTTGCGACCGCCCGAAACTCAGGGTTGCCTGCCGATAGCGTGAGGGCTCGAGCTTCTTCGACGGCGGTCCAATACGGGTCGACCCTTGATTCAAAGACATGCGGGGCGTAGTGCTTCGCTGAGGTGGTGTAGCTACAGCAGGGCGAGATGCCTCCTCTACTACTTCTGCGGTGTGCGTTCGAGGGGGAGGTGCCGATGCAGGAGGATTTCTTCGCAGTAAGTCTAATCCTGTCACGGCACCAGGGTGGGACGCTGTAGAAGGATCGTCGGGAGCCTCCTCCTCGTCGTCGGTTCCTGACGCGAGCATAGTGCCCCCTAACGAGGGGGCGGTTCACAGCAGAGAAACAGACCAACGAGCACAAGCTCTGTCGTCTAGAATGGTTGGATGATTCAAGTTCAACCAAGGCATGAAAGGGAGCTGTGGGGAGGAAGGACCATCGGAGGAAGGCATGAAAGGGAGCTGTTCTGTCAAGACGCGGGAGTTTGGTCCTCCCCACATGGAGTGCTTGGCCGTCCAAACATCCCTGCATGCAATGCTGCTTCAGCGAGTGGACCGCAGCACGCCAACACCTTCTGAGGCCACGTTTCTCGTGGTGCACTGGCTGTATACTTAGCCGCTATTGGCCAGAATTTCGGGATTTGCAGTGCACGCGCCAAACTGGTCATTTCGCGGCAGCAATCCACAGGCAAAATGTGCGCTGGCACGAAAATTATGGAACTATGGGCAGTAAGCAGGGGGTACACCTGTAGCGCCCCCCCTGAAGCCAGATTCGAGGTATCAGGGTTATCCCCGAATTCATACTGAGCACTCAGGGCTGGTACACGAACACTATACTGAGTTGTCAGGGTTGTCATATGATATTCATTCTGAATTTACAGGGTCAGAAATTCATTTAACCGGATTTTTCAGGTCTGGCACCTCATACTCATCCTGAAAATCAGGAATTCAGGATAAAACATCCTGATATCTGAGACCCTGGGTACTACATTGTTAAAATTATATAAGTTATAATTTATATAGGCTTGGTAGGTTGTTACTGAACCTTTCTGTAGGGGGTACAAACCCCTCCTTGTACTCCCCTCTCTTCTAATCCAACATCTTTTCTCTCCTCAACTTTCCTAGCACCTAAAACCTCTCGCCATTCTCATGGCTCCTCCTAGCTCCTAGCTAAACCTTGTGCCATTCTATGGCTTCCTAGCTAAGCTAGTTTCTGACATGGTATCAGAGCAGTTCGTTCCGTGTGGGCCTGCTCCTCGCGTTTCCGCTGCGTGCTCGTTTCTCTCTCTATCTCGCGCTGCCATGGCGGCCGCGTCAAGCTGCTGTGGCCGCGTCGTCGTGCCGCGGCGCCGCTGTCGACGTCCATGGCGCCCGCGTCCAGCTGCTGTGGCCGCGCCGTCGTGCCGCAGCTCCGCCGTCGCGTCAAGTTGCTGTCGCGACGTGACGGCGCCGTCACGCTGCCGCGGCGTCTACGCGACAGCGCGCAGTCGGCGTACCAGCGACGTCGTGCTGCCGTCGCAGCGTCGACGCCCCGCTGCGGCATCGACGCCGCTCCATGACGGCGTCGTCGGGCTGCAGCCGGCCGCGTGACGCTTGTGGCGCCGCTAGACCGGCCGCCCGCATGTCAGCCTGTGGCGCCGCCCCCCCCCCCCCACCCCCCCTCCTTCCCCTGCGCCCTCTTCCATTCCGCAGACGATGGCTGACTCCCGCCGGCCGTCCCACAGTCGCGGGGCCAGGCCACGTCACCGAGAGGTGCGGGTGCCGCCGCCGCTGCCGCTGTTGTCGAAGCCGCCGCCGCCGCCGCTGTCGCCGCTTGCGTCGGGGCCACGCAGCCGCACGCCGCCGCCGCCGCCGCTGTCGACACTGCCGCCGCTGCCGCCGTCGCCGCCGCAGCCCCTGCGGTCGACGTCGCCGCCTCACGCGCCGTGGGGTCGACCGACCTAGAGTCGCTGTCACTGTGGCTGGAATGGGGGTGCTAGGTTAGGGGGTGTGGGTGTGTGTGGGTGTGTGACTACCAAGCCTAGGGGGTGTGTTAAAATTATATAAGTTATAATTTATATAGGCTTGGTAGGTTGTTACTGAACCTTTCTGTAGGGGGTACAAACCCCTCCTTGTACTCCCCTCTCTTCTAATCCAACATCTTTTCTCTCCTCAACTTTCCTAGCACCTAAAACCTCTCGCCATTCTCATGGCTCCTCCTAGCTCCTAGCTAAACCTTGTGCCATTCTATGGCTTCCTAGCTAAGCTAGTTTCTGACATACATAAGCAAAGCGTAAAGATCCAGCATTTTATGGAACAAACCATTGTCACATCAAAATGGAGAGAGAACAGCTGTGAGGAAATCATTCATTCACATGGCAGTAGCCTGTGCCATGCTCACTGCATTCATCAAACTGCACCCAATCAGGGAGAGGGTAACAAGCCTGTAGGCACTGCACGAGATGCATCAGAAAAGTTAGGGTAACACACTCCCACAAACACTCCACAATCCACACACACCACCAATAAGTCATCTGGTGACAGCTGCCCTCACCCCCCACATACACACAGCACGGAGCCGCTTTCCATTCTTTCCAACTGCACACACACACCCCTCCAAGATAATGCTCCAGGTAACCAAAAAATGGTAACTGCAGGCGCGGTGGAACCGGCATGCTAGCCCTTCCCATATCGACTGATGACTGATCACTCACTACTTCCCACACTGCTCCCATCTAAGCTCGTCCCTGCTTCCCCATCCCAGCCCCCTCCTGTATAACATCTCTCTGCTTCCCCCCTCCTCCGTGCACTCTCCCTTAGCTGCATGTTGGTTCTAGGTCACCCTCTAGGTGCTGGTGCCGTGACAGCACCAGCAGGACCAGATGCAGCTGCTGCAGCAGCAGAAGAGGCAGCAGCAGCATGCAGCACTGGCGCATCAACAAAAGCATCATCATCAGCAGCAGGAGTAGCAGCAGCAACCGCAATTGCAACCGCAGCACCAGCAGCAATATCAGCTGCGGAGAGCAAGGAGGCAAGGCCTGCCGCTTCATCAGGCAAGCACCAGTCCCTATATTTGCTTCCTCCCCTCTCTCCCTCATCCTCCTCCATCCTGCCTTGCTCTCCTCCCTGCTCCTCGTCCATGCCATTAACCCCCCTGTCACCATCCACCCCATCCATGCCACTGACCCCATCCATACCATTCGCCCCATCCATGCAATTGACCCCATCCATGCCATCCATGCAACTAACCCCATCCACGCCATCTGTCCCATCCATGCCATCCCTTCCACCCTCCCCATCTGTCTCCCCTAAGGGCCCTCTGCTGCACTCTTCACCATCCTCCTCCCCGTCTCCTCCCCCCTCCACCATCCGTTCCTCCTCCCCCCCATCCATTGCCCCATAGCCCTGCCCCCCCTCTCTCACCACCTCCTCCTGCCCATTCTCCCCTATTCCTCCAGTAAAATCCTCCAGCGGTACCTCACCCACACTTGCTGATGGTGCACCTGCATGTGCTGCTGCCTTGCCAGTGGGTTCGACCATCACACATGTCCCATGTGTCCCGTTCCACGGCTCATGCGCCGCTGCTGTCGCCGCTGCTGCTGCTGCTGCTGAGAGCGGTGGTGATGGGACCGGCAGTGGTGGTGGTGATGCTGATGATGGTGATACTACACGTGGTGCTGGCGGTGATGGTGATGGTGCTTGTGATGGCGGTGGTGATGGCATCTGTTGATCCATGACAACGACCTCACTGACCCAAACAGGCTCAGCCAAGGCACACTTCTCATCACCATCACCATCTCCCCTTCCCTCCCGCACAGTTCCTCCTAGAGGGCTAGGCGCCAGAGCCTGTGGAAAAGCCTCAGCTGCATGCTTCAGCACGCCCTCCCATCCATCCTCTGCACACTCGCTCCTGTCAACCCCACCAGCTGCACCAGAGTCAGCAATAAGAGGAGCAGCAGGATTTTTTGAATTTGCCACAGCAGCAGCAGGATTGCCTGAATCTGCTGGCCACTCACGTTCACCACCTTTCACGTTTTCCTCAGATATCTTTGAGGTCTGCGCTTTACTGCTCTTTGCCCCTGTTCTCTCAGTCGCTGCGCACACCTCAACGTCGTTCAATGCTCCGCCTGCACCTTCCTGTACCTCCTCTCTCATCTCCCCTCTCTCCTCTCTCTCCTCCCCTGCCTCCTCTCTCACCTCCACTCCCTCCTCCCTCACTTCCCTGCCCTCACTCGGCCCCTCTGTCTCCTCACCAACCTCCACCCTCACCTCTTCCCCACCCCCCTGACTTCCTGCTTGTTCCGCTCTAAACCCACCAGCCACTCCCTTCGCCTCCTCTCCCTCCTGCTCTCTGCCCTGGCTTGACTTGGTACTCCGCGCCTCCCCCCCACGCCCCTTGTCCTGCTTTCCAACTACTCGCCTCAGCACCACTCGAAGACCACTCTCCCCTGCACCAGCGCTGCTTCTCTCAGCCTTCCACACATGACCACTGCCGCTGCTGCTGCTGCTGCTGCCCTTGCTGGCACTCTTGCCGCTGTTGCTGCCACAACTGTTTCTACCACTGCTCCTGCTGCTATTGCTGTTGCCGCCTCTGCTATTGCCACTGCCACTGTCTCTGTGGCCGCCTGTACTTGGGCTATCAGTCCTGCCGTGGTTTCCCCTATGCTTCTTACTTCTTGAGTCGGCAACTTCGGCTTTGATGACATGAGCAGCAGCTGCGTCACCGGGAGCGTCACCAACAGTGTTACCAGCAGTGTAACCAGTAGTGTTACCAGCACTGTTGCCAGCAGCAACAGCAGCAGCAGCAGCACCAGCACCAACACTACCGTGAACACCAGCAGTAGCAGCATCAACAGCAGTAGCAGCATCAGTAGCAGTAGCAGCAGCAGCAGCGCTGCCAATGCTCCTCTCCTCCATGCTCCATTTACCACACAAATGACCACCTCCTGAACCCCCCCTCCCTGCTCTCCTTCCACGCACCCTCACTCTCCCACCCCTTGCACCATCACCAGCAGCAGGGGGAGAAGCGAGGGCAGGGAGAGCAGCAGGCGGAGAGACGGCAGGGAGAGCAGAGCGAGCACAGGGAGAAGAGAGGGCAGGGAGCGCAGCAGCAGCAGTAGCAGGTGCAGAGAGCGCTTTAGTGAAATCCAGGCACCTGACAGTGGCACTCTCTACCAACATCTCTGTGTCTGTCTCTAACTCCGTTTCTGGCTCTTCCTCTGCCAGGTGGGAAGCTGGGGAGGTGTCATCTGCAGTGTGAACAGGGTCAACTAGCAGGGGGGGCACTGCCCCCACAAGAGCCGGGAGGGGGGTCGATGCAGCAACGACTGTCTTGCACACTGCCACATTTCCCCTCACTCCTGCTGCTGCTGCTTCTGCTGCTGCGGCTGTGGCTGCAGCTGCTGCAGCTGCTCTTGTTGCTCTAGTCGCAATTCTGCTATTGCTTCCACCCCTCTCAGCTTTCTGCTGCTGCCGTTTTACCTCCTCCTCCTGCTGCTGCTGCTGCTGCTGCTGCTGCTGCTGCTGCTGCCGGACCATCCCCTCTCCTACCAGCTTCCGCTTCTCTCCCTCTTCTAGCACATCCACTCCCTCCCTTCCCCCAGCACTCCCCACCTCCTCCTCCTTCTCCCGCTTCCGCTTTTCCCGCAGCCGCGACGGGCGGAGCACTGACAATAAAGCAGAGTGGGAGGAGGGGGGTGGGGACGCCCCTGCACCACCTACCATCGCCGGGTGTGCCAGTATCTGCTGCTGGGTTTGCACTGCTCCAAACACGCCAGGTGGAGCAACCATGGCTTGATGGTCGCACACAGATCGAGCCTTCACTGCGAACATCCCACTTGGCGCTTCACTTGCACAAACTGCAGCACCAGCAGCACCAGCAGCACCACCAGCACGAGCCACACTTTCCAGCGCCTTTCTATCACTGCAACTCTCTTTCTTTGTTATGGCCCTCTTTCTGCCATCCCTCCTTCCCCCTCCCACTTTCCTTCCTTCCCCCTTTCTCTCGCACTCTCCCTCCCCCTTCCCATAAACATCTCCCCCTCCTGCCCCCAACCCCTCCTTCCCTACCTTCTCCCGTACTCTATCCCCTACCATTCCACGTTCCACCCTCCACCCCTCTGCACACCTCTCCACCGCACTCCTACCTTCCTGCTCCCTTCTCCTCCTTCTTTCACCCGCCCCACTTCCCTCCAGCCCCTCCTTCCTCGTCCCCACTTCCTCCCCTCCCTTTCCTTCCTCCTTCCCCCCCACCATTCCAACCTCCACTTTCATCTCCTCTCTCCCTCCTCTTTCCTCCTCCTCCTCCTCCTCCCCATCCCACCTAACCCTCCCCTCCCTCCCCTCCCCGACCTGCTGCTGCCTCGTGCGGCATGTCAGCCCCTGCACCAGCTTACACTCAAACACTTGCCTCAACCGCTCGTCCCCTCCCTCCTCTCCCCCTCCCTCCTCTCCCTCTCCCAACTCCCCACACATCCCCTCCCCTCTCCCCTCCTCCTCCTCCTCCTCCATATCCTCCCCATCCCCTAAACCCTCTCTGCTCCACCGATCGCCATACACCCCCCAGTTTCTCCGGAGGCTGTCCAACAGCCACGCTGGGGGGTTGCGTGCGGGTACCAGGCGGGCTCGCCTGCAGCGCGTGCAGTGGAGCGACCGCAGCCCCACTGGCTGTGCTTGCTGTGATTGCTCTGCTGGCCTTGCTTGTGGCGTGTCTAGTGCTTCGTTTGCTGCATGTGCATGCACTGTTGCTTGCGCTTCTAGTGCTGCTGGTGGTGCTGGTGCTGGTGCTGGTGAAGGTTGCGTTTTTTGTGATCCTTGTTTTGCTGCTCTCTTTTGCTTCTTCTTTGGTCCTGCTCCTGCTACTCCTGCTACTCCTGCTGCTTCTGCTACTCCTGCGGCTCCGTCTACTTCTGCGGTGTCAAGTCCTGCTAATGCCGGCATCGCTGTTGCACCAGCACCAGCAGCAGCAGCAGTGGCCGTGGCAGCAACAGCACCAATCATCTTCCCTCCACTTATCTTCCTCCTGCTAGCCTTGCTCCCTGCCTTTCGTTCCATCCCTATCTTCGCCCCCTTCTTGCCCCCCTTTCCCCCCTTCTTTTCATTTCCAATCGCCCCTCCCCCTCTTGACGCTGCCACTCCTCCCACCACCCTACCACCCACACCATGTCTTCTCAACGCACATACACCACCCGTCTGCCCCAAACCACTCGCAGAACCTCCCACCCCTTCTCCTTTCACCACTATACAACCTTCCTTCCCTGCTCCTCCCTCTCCTCCTCCGTCTTCTCCTCCCTCTCCTTCTTCCTCTCCTTGTACCCCTGTCAGTCCAATCCTCCCCTCTTCTTCCCCCTCCCATTTCCCGGTTCCCAACCCATTCCCCGCAGCATTCCCCGCAGCATTCCCCGCAGCATTCCCCGCAGCATTCCCCGCTTCTTTTCCCATCTCATTTCCCACCCCAAATTCCGCCCTATCACCAATAGCCACAGCAGCAGGGCAGGCCACCACCAGCAGAGGCACCACGCACCCATCCATACTCCTCACCACACCTCCTATCATCTCCACTGCAGGTAACTCCACCCCTCCTCCTCCTGCCCCCCCTGCTCCCCCTCCCAATCCTCTCACCCCGGCCCTCGCTCCTGCTTTCCCCCCTCCCCTCCCGCCCTTCTTCCTGCATTTCCCTCCTCTCCCTGCACCAACAACTCCACTTGCCCCCTTCACTCTTTTCACCACCATTTGAGCTAGCCCCTTGGCCCCGGCACCCAGAGGCCTTTTCCGCTTGCTTCCTTTCGCTGCTGCCACCCAACTGCCCCCTGCTACACCTGCACCAACCACACCCTCTGCCCCTTCCACACTCTTTCCTGCTGCTTCCGCCCCTGTTTCTCCCCCTTCTCCCAATCCTCCCACTTCCCCACTTCCTCCCACCATACACCCTGCTCCCCCCACTCCCCCCTCTCCCACTTCCTCTTCCTTTACCCAAGTCCCAGCAGCCACACCCCCCGCAACTCCTTTCCGCACATATTTCTTTCTCACAAGATCAATCGCAGCAAGCGCCTGCTCCCGTCTCACCCCCCCCACCTCCCCACTTGCCCCAGTCACCTCCTCCCCGCATCCCCCTGCTTCCCCTCCGTCTTCCCCTCCTCCCCCCTCTTGCTTCAGCACTTGTTTCCCAGTCTTTTCCCCAGCCTGTCCCCGAGCCTGCTCCCGAACCTGCCCCCGAACCTGTCGCTGCGGCAGCAGGACTTTAATAACTCGTCTTCTGTGGTACACTATAGGAGCTCCCTCCCTTCCGCCTGCCGCCCCTCTCCCCCCTCCTGCCTTGCCCCCTTTGCCTCCCCGGATAAATCGCCCGTTTACCCCTCTAGCATAGCCAGCAGCAGTGGAAGCAGCAGCAGTGGCAGCAGCAGCAGTAGTGGCAGCAGCAGGCAGAGATAGTTGATTCCCTGTCAGTCTATCCAGCCCCGTTCCTGCTGCTGCTCCTGCTGTTCCTGCTGCTCCTGCTCTTCCTGCTGCTGCTCCTGCTGTTCCTGCTGCTCCTGCTCTTCCTGCTGCTGCCCCTTCTCCCTCTGCTCCCTGCCCCTCATACTCCTCTACCTGCTGCTGCTTGCACTCAAACTCGCCATCAAGATAGCAGTCTGTACCATCACCAGTAGCAGCAGCAGCAGCAGCAGCAGCAGATTCAGGACGGTCCAGTGCGGCGGGGGGTTGTTCGGCGCAGAGGAGGGCGAGCGGCGGGGGCGGGACGAAGAGCCCCATGTCGATGCACACGCTGTCGCTGATGCAGTAGCAGGGGCGCGCCTTGAGCCCCACTTGCACCCACCTGCTCGCACGGGGAGGCGGGGTATGGAGGGAGAGAGGAAGGAAGAGCAGACAGGCAGTGAGGTTTGGAGAAACGTTGTGAAACATGCAGTTGCTGATGCAGTAGCAGGGACGCGCCTTGAGCCCCACTTGCACCCACCTGCTCGGACAGAGGGGGAGGAGATGGAAAGGGGAGAGCGGAAGGGAGAGCGATAGGGAGAGAAGGGAGGAGAGGGAGAAAGGGGATGGATGACAGGGAAATACAGATGGTGGCATGTAGGGGAGGGGTAACTCAGCATGAATGATGAGGGAACAGGGGTTGGAGGGGAAGAGAGGCGAGGAAGGAAAACATGGCGAGGCGAGAGAGTGGGAGCAACAGATGGCAACGGAGGGGATGGCTGGCTTACAGCCCGGTGGCAAAAATTGGATGACTCAGCAGAGATGAATGAGCAGGAAAGAGAGGTGGGAGGAGAGAGCAAAAGAAGGGAGAGAGAAATGGGGAGCGAGGGAATGGGCTTACCGCTTGGTGGCAAAGTTGGTTGACTCAGCACAGTTGAATCCGAGATTGAAACCAGCATGGTACACGCCTGTACACACATGCATCCGTCAGACAGGTGCACATGCACATGCACATGCACATGCACATGCACAGGCAGACACATTTGCATATCCACACACATACACATGCACGCACACGCACATGCACATGCACGCAGATATGCACACACATGCAGTGCAGGGATGCACACACAGAAAACCACGGTGTGATGCGTGACATACGATACGATGCACACACGCATGCACGGAGTGAAATCACATGCACGTTTCATTGATGCCCATTGCAGGAGGAACTCTCAACAACAGCAGTCAGCAACAGCAGTCGGCAGTCCTTTGAGAGGACCAACTGCCATGGCTACTGCAGCACCTTAAGCCCCCTAAGCACTGGGGCGTTGATGCAAGCGCTGAGAGGTACTACAGCCATACACGTGCATGTGGCATGTGGCATGTGGCATGTGGCATGTGGCATGTGGCATGTGGCATGTGGCATGTGGCATGTGGCATGTGGCATGTGGCATGTGGCATGTGGCATGTGGCATGTGGCATGTGGCATGTGGCATGGCCTACCGGGGAAGTTGATGACAAACTGCCGCGGCTGCTGCAGCACCCTGAGCACCGGGATGTTGTGCCGCTGCAATAGCTGTGGGGTCACCAGCGTCTCCTGTGAGGGGGAGAGAGAGAGAGAGACAGAGAGAAAGTGTGTGTATGTGCAGGTGTGCGAGAGAGACAGGGAGCGATGGTGGCTGCTGCTGCAGCACCCTGTGCACTGGGATGTTGTCCCGGTGCAATAGCTGCGGGGTCATCACCGTCTCCTGTATGGGAGAGGGAGAGCGAGGGAGACAGAGAGGGAGAAAGTGTGTGCATGTGATGCGCGTGTGTGTGAGAACGACAGGGAGGGGAGGTGGCTGCTGCAGCACCTTCAGCACGTGGATGTTGTGCTGGTGCAACAGCTGCGGGGTCATCACCGTCTCCTGTGAGGGGGAGGGGGAAAGAGAGTCTGTGTGGGAGAGAGAAAGAGAGGAGAGTGATGGAGGGAGAAAGGGAGGCTCGCCTCTCGTCCCCCTCCCTGTCCCTCTCCGCTCCCCTTCCCTTCCCATCCCCCCCGCTCCCTCCCCATCCCCCCCCCCGCTCCCTTCCCATCCTCAACCACACGCACACGCACAATCGCATGCACACGCGCACATGCGCGCACACACACACACGCACACACAGCCACCCACCTTGTGCCGCAGGAACTCGTGGCACTGCTTGAACCGTGACGCCTGCAGCCCCTGCACTCCCCCCTCCCCCTTCCCCTCTCTCCCCCCCCCCTACATGCTGTCATCGTAGCCCTGTACCTTGTGCCGCAGGAACTCGTGGCACTGCTTGAACCGCGACGCCTGCAGCCCCTGCAGCAGGCGCTCAAAGCGGGCCTTGGAGGCCGGGGGCACCACGTACCTTGGGGGGGATGGGGGAGAATGGGGGGAGGTGGGGAGGGGGGGATGGGGGGAGGGGGGGATGGCGGATGGGTGGAGAATGTGGGAGGATGGCCCCTGCAACAGGCGCTTGAAGCGGGCCTTGGAGGCTGGAGGCACCACGTACCTGGGGGGATGGGAGAGAATGGGGGGCAAAGGGGCGGGAAACGGAGGCAGAACGGAGAGTGGAACGAGGGGAGAATGCCAGAGAATGAGGGGGAGACTGGCAGGGGGGTTGAAAAGAGACGGGGGAAGCAGGGTTGGGAAGGGACTTGTGATTGGGGTTGAGAGGGAGTGCACGTAAAGTCTCGCAAGCATGCATGCATGCATGACCGGGTGGGTGGGTGGGCTTGAGCATGCGTGTGTGCCAGCATGCATGTAGAGTTACAAGCCGGAGGGCGGCACATTTGCAAATATGACCATAGGTGTACAGCAACTAACTAGGTGCACGATTCCACCAGCTCACCACAACTCGGCTCACCACAACTCGGCTCACCACAACTCGGCTCACCACAACTCGGCTCACCACAACTCGGCTCACCACAACTCGGCTCACCACAACTCGGCTCACCACAACTCGGCTCACCACAACTCTGCTCACCACAACTCGGCTCACCACAACTCGGCTCACCACAACTCGGCTCACCACAACTCGGCTCACCACAACGCACGCTCACCAGAACTTGGGCGCCCCAAAGTGCAGGTAGTTGACGCTGTACAGGTCCATGTCCTCCGTGTGCCTGCAGCAGTGCGGTGTGGTGCAGATGGGTGGGTGAGGGTAAGCGGGGGTAGTACGGGGTAGCAAGGGGTTAAAGAGGGGTTAAGGTGGAAGGGGCGTTGACTCAAAGGGCGCCCCAAACCAAATTGCAGGCACTTGACGCTCTGCAGGCCCGTGTCCTCTGAGTGCCTGCAGCGGTGGGGAGCGGATAGGGTGATGGAGGGGTGATGGACGGGTGATGGACGGGTGATGGACGGGTGAGGGTAAGGTGGGCATGGGGTGGGCGTCGGGCGGCCATAGGCAGACGGGTTGGAGTAGGGTGGGCGTCGGGCGGGGGTAGAGTCGTAGAGTCGTACGGGTGGTCACACCAACAAAACACCCCTGATCTCGAGACTCCTCCCCTCCCTGCTCCAGTCCCCATCCAACCCCCTCGAATCCCTTTCCAAACAGCCAAGAAGTTCCGTGCCACACACACGCCTTTCCCCTGCTCGTCCCTACTCCACTTCCCACTCAACTCTCCCCCCCCCTCCCACACCCAATTCCCCCCCCTCCCCCCCCCCTCCCACCCCCTTTTCTTCCCCCCCCCCGCCCCCCCCCCCCCCCCCCTTACCCTCCCCCATCACAAAGACTTTTCCCTCCCCCCACTCACCATGCGAAGAGCGAGCGCCACATGCCGAAGTAGAGGTACGGCGTGGTGACCCCTGGTATCTGCATGCCCGCTGATTCCAGCGTGCGCGACAATAGCGTGGACAGACAGCCCACGTTCCATCCCTGTTGCTCGGGTAGAGAAACGGAAGAAGGGTCTCTGAGGGCCTCACAATATGACCCCCGGTATTGGATGCCGACTGAATCCAGCGTGCGCAATAGCAGCATGGGCAAACACCCCACGTTCCCTCCCTGGCGGGGGAAAGAAAGGGAGAAAGCGAGAAGCGGGGTTGGGCCTCACCATATGACACCACCCCTGGCATTCGCAGCCATGCTGCCTTCCCTTCAGTACACGTGATAGCAGGGAGAACAAGCAACCCACGTCCGAACCCTCCCGCTCCCACTCCCCTTCGTCTTCCCCACCCCCCCTTTGAGGCGCCTCAAAAGTCAAACCCTGCACCAGTCTACATTGCTTGACGCTTGTCGGCCTGACGCCCCCCTCTTTCATGCTTCACACTCGAACATGGGGAACGGAAAACTGGAGAAGCAGACTCGGTAAAGCAGGCGCAAGGGACGGGCGAACGGCGGCTATGAAAGATGGACGGCAGACGGCTACCCGACAGGCTAGAAAGACGGCTAGGAGTGACGGTTTCAGCGAAACAGGGCGGCCGGATGACGCGGAAGGATGTATAGCTCGCCTGCACTGCATGTCTTGTCATCGACTCGCAATACGCTCACGCGCGCGCACGTCAATCAAACGCTGTCGGAAGACCCTCGCGCCCATGGCCTGCGATAAGCGCGCGAACGTCAATCACACGCACCTGGCAATGCAAGGCAATGCAGTGCGCTGCCCTGCGCCCCCCCACCCACCTGCACGTCGGGGCCGAAGAACGATCGGAGCCCCTCAGCGCCGTACAGAGGGCGGCGAGTGCGTGACGTTCTTCCAGAAGCTTCGCTCGACCGACGTCTCCATGTCCGCTAGACGCCACCCTACGTCCCTACACTGCACTGTACTGCACTGCACCCCACTGCGTCGCTCTAAACCCCACTGCACCGCATTGAACCGCACTCAACCGCACAGCACCCACCTGCACGTCCGCGTCGAAGAACGACCCGAGCCCGTCGGCGCCGTACAGCGGCGGCGAGTGCGTGACGTTCTTCCAGAAGCTTCGCTCGATCGACGTCTCCATGTCCGCTAGGCTCAGCCGTCTGCCCACGTGCCTGCACTGCCGCCTGCCCTGCCGCCTGCGCCGACGGCCGTTAGATCCTTCGCCAGGCACCCTAACCCCGCCATCCCCGTCACCGTCACGGTTACCGTCATCTTCACCGTCACCGAAACCGTCATCGTTACCGTCGCCGTCGCCACGGCCTCTGCTACAGCGCCGCTGCTCCACATCCCCGTCACTGGCGTCTCCGCTCTCGGCACAACGCGCAACGCCAGCATCCCCATCCCCGTTACTATCCTCACTAGAGCTACCAGCCCTACCCGCGTTAGTAGCGTTAGTAGCATTCCCCAGGCAGCAGACGTCCCCGTCATCCCCCCACGGCCCGCGATGCTCCTTCGCGTGCGCTGCCTCGCGGAACTCCCTAACCGTCACGGACTTAGTCTCCACGTGGATCGAGTGAAACACGCCGCGGCTGCCGGACACGTGCTGCTTAATCGGCTTCGGAATCGTCCACTCTTCCACGTCCTCGTACCCGCGGGATCTGGGCCGCCATTCCGGTGGGGGTTCTATGACGCAGATCCCGTATTCCCAAGCCTCATCCTCGATCCGCTCCACGTACGCTTCAAATCCCGCCTCCATTTCCGCTAAGGTGGGCCGGTAGATCGGCACCTGCGCGTCGTCGATCATCGCGGCGGCAGCTGCGGCGCATGAGCGGCGGGTGAGAGAGTGTTGCGGGTTTCCTGCGGCTACCCTGGGTCGTTTCTACCGTTTCTCTCCTTTCTAACGTCTCTATCGGTTCTCCAGCCCCCGACCCCTAACGGCCAGCAGCAGGCGGCAGCGAGGAAGTTTGACGCGAGAGCGCCCGAAAGGAAGATCGCGAAAAAAACGTCTGCTTTGCGTCTGCGAGTGCTGTATCTGGCGGGGTCGACGGCACTAGATTCAGCGCAGATTCAGTGCAAGAGGAGGAAGGAACAACGAGAGTACGGATCGAACCAGGAACGCTAAGACACGTCGCTCGCACGACCCGGGCTAGGAAACGTAGTCTAAGATGGTCCTCCCACCGTCCCGCAGTCTAGGAACTCCGCTATAGCAGGCAGGGCAGGCATGGTATTGGTCGGCTAGTCAGGTACAGGGTGCTAGATTTTCCAGCGTGTGCTGTGTGGTTTATACGACACGACAGTATTGCTGTACTGCACTGTAGCATCAGGGAATCAGGAGCCAGCGAACGAGCGAGCTGGGCCGAGCTGAGCTGGGGGGAGCAAATCTTCTGGAAGCATGCAGGGAGGGAGGGAGGCAGGGAGGGAGGGAGGGAGGCCGTGAATGGAGGAGAGGGGGGAGGGAGGGGGGAGTGATGTGTGCAGAAAACTCCTTGGAGTAAATTGCTTGCCTTGCCCTAACATTTCGACACCGGGTAGATCGCGAATCTCCTCCCTCCATCCGACTTTCCATGGTGTTCGGCGACCTCATAGCCAGAATCAGCAGCTTCCAATTCTTTCATCATCGTCCAACACAATTCGTATAGTCTCAATGAACTCCATTGCGCTTTTCTACCAGAATCCGTAAATATTGACGCCCCAAGCCAGTATCCTCTTCCCTTTCCTGGCCGTAATTTTCTGATCCCTTAAATACGTGCGGGGTGCGAAACAAACGTGCCCTGCCTATAAAAGTGTCACTTGGAACGTCGCCCTGAAATAGACGTTCCTGCAGGGCTTGTCACTCGAATGAACCATACCCAACCATTTTCAACGCTTGACAAAGGGCTCAAGAACGAAAAGCACCTCTTATAACCGCCGCAAAGCGAGCTTTCCTGACACGTTTTCTCTCAGCCACACCCATCAAACCGCCAAGGCGACTCTTTTCCGCAGTGAGTCTTTCGGGTGTTACAGCCGATATTGCAAACATACTATCCCAATTCAGATTTAGGCGTAGCTCCCCCTTAGCTATCTAGAAAAATGGCACACTAGATAAATTCCTAGAATTCATGTCCCAAGAGCCAACTAAAACTAAGACAATTTGAAAGTTTTAACTACTGTTGGGCTGAGGTATTTCCAACAACTACAACTCTGCCCCACCATCACAACTCTGTATGCCTTCCAGACATATCCGGTCCTCGGGGAGGCATGTTCATGTTACTGTAGTACTTGGGAAGCACCTCCCCCAGCAGGTACATGGCCCCTCCTGCTATTCCCACCAGCAGAGCGAACACCAAGGCCAGCTTTATCAGCTTTATGAAAATGTTTTCGTCCTTGACGCCCGATCTAGGGAGCACCCCTCCGGGATAGAGATCACGAATGTCCTGAAGAGGACAAGGACAAGGCACGGAGGAATGGATCATGAGAACGGGAAACGGAGCAGTGTGAGGGAGGGGGTAGTGAGAGGCGAGCGGGTGAAAGGCTGTACTTGAAGAGCTCAGCAGCAAAACAGCAGCAGCAGCAGCAGCAGCAGCAGCAGCAGCAGCAGGGCAACCGGTGGCAGTCAGTGGCAGTCACTGGTAGCAGTGGGCTTAATTTCAGACCGAGGGACGAAGCAGAAAACGCTGCAAGCTTGACTAGCAGCAGGAAGCACGTCGTCGTATCAATACAGCAAAGTATAATGATACTACAGTGCCTCACATCTCTCGCTCATCCGTGCAGCATGTGTGTGCCCTGTCTGCCCCTCAGGGCATGTCCCGCATGTACCCTTCTCGCTAAAAACCCTACCCAACCATTTCAGATCGCTATAAGCACCTTCTGACTCGCAGAGAATCTCATCCAACCGCAATCAAATGTACGCGCGAGACACGCACTCACACACGTACCCCATTCCTCTAATGAGCCTCCCATGTGCTTCGGATGTGAGTTGCAAGACTCTTCCAACAAGCCTCTCTTGCGCGCTGTGCTTCCTCCTAGCACCCGCTCTTGTCACTCCATGTATACCACATCTAGCGCCGTACAGATGCACCTTAGCCTTCCACATGCTTTCATTTCATGCCTGAGTGGTTACATTCGCCTACATACCCATCCATGCATCCATCCACCCACCAGCCCACCCATCCACGCATGCACCCATGCGAGCACACCATCCCAGCAAGGCCGGCCCACTCTCTCACCAGTGCATTCCGAATCTGTGGAGGCTCGTCTTTTCCCGCCAACCCCTTCTCAAACAGCGTCTGGGGCTTCTTCGGAACGGGCTTGGCTGGTGCGGCCGCTGCTGCTGCTGCTGGAGATGGGGGAGAAGAGGAGAAGGGGACAAGGGGAGAAGGGGAAAAGGGGAGAAGGGGAGACGGGGGGAAGGGGAGAAGAACCAGTGAAGCGTGAGTTGAACGGGGAGTAAAAAAACGGAACAAAGAAACAAGGCGGCACTGGGCCCAAAAGGAGTGAAGAGTGAAAATTTACACCCTTCTTCTCCTGCGTCTCCTGCTTCTCCTGCTTCTCCTGCGTGTCCCCGAATTCTTGCCGTCTCCTGCGCTCTGAATCAATTCGGAACAGACGCAACCACACATCCCGTCCCCATGCATCCCTGCCGCCGCTACACCACGCAATACCTTCCCTAGATCCCACCCAGGCAAACCCGAAACTCGACTATCCCCCTCCCTCTCCTTCCCACCCTCACACCTCCCTCCCACACCCTTCCCGTCCCCCCTTCCCCCAACCTAATCTGTACGATCTGCTGACTCCGCCGTTTTCGTTAAAATTCCTTCCTCCCCATCCCCCTCGCCTCCCTCGTCTCCCTCGTCTCCCTCGTCTCCCTCGTCTCCCTCGCCTCCCTCGCCTCCCTCGCCTCCCTCAGCTGACCTCCGCCTCGCACTCTCGCAATGAGCGGCCGCTTCGGCCCCCCCGCGCCCTCCGGCAGATCGTCCAGCGAATCCGACGCCGACAACTGGCGGGCCTCCTCCGCATTCCCCGGCGGCGGCGACAGCGTAATGAAGACGCGGTGGATGGGGATGGTTTCCGAGCCGGAGGCGACTAGGTTCTCAGCGAGTCGCTCCTTTAGGTCTAGGATCGTCGCGTTTATGCCAAGCAGGGAACCGCGGACGCGAATGGCGTCGGATAGATCTTCCTCTGGGAACTCGACGCGCACCCAGATGTCATCCCGGGGGTGCTTCGACCGCGATCTGGCGGGGCCTTGTGCCGCGGATTCCGCCATCAGGGATTGATTAGGTGATTTCGCGGGTGCGGACGATGGGAGCAAGTCAGCTGTTCCTTGGTACTTCTAGGTGCCGTCAAAGGAAGATGATAGTACTCGAGACGGGGTTGTTATGAGACGACGGGCGACGTTTCTTTTTTCTACTTATTCTTTTCTCGAAATTGGAAGCCGGCGACACAATCGCAAACACAGCGATGCACTCGATCACGACCACGCAAAAGAGGCAGCTTTCGAGTCGACTTCAACGTAACACAATTGAACGAGTTAAGTCGCTGCGTCAGACACACACAGCAGCAAGGAGCACTGTAGTGAGAAGCCTCATGCCGAACAAAGGGGTGGGTGGTGGAGACTGACACTACACCGCACTCAGCCACTTTGTAACCTTTTGAAGCCGTATTGGACCCGAACCTTCGCCTAATGAACGGAACCCAGAGAGCGGTGCAAACCACGTGGTTCGACATTGAAAGCTTCCCGCGGCAACACGAGTTCTCGATTGGTTGAAAAGAAAGCTGAAGCTGATGTGGAGGAAACTGAACCAACAGCAGTCCACGTGAACGTTTGGAAGTTGAGGGCGCGTCCCAAGAGAACGTCCCGTGTACAGTTCTTGCGGTCTAATTTGGTGCCTCGAGGTTCGGAGCGGTGAAGCTCACACCATTCTCGACCGCATACAGTCCATGTGGGACATACTCTTGGGACACGCCATGAGGTACATTAGCGACAGAAACCCTTCGGGCACGCCGTAACACCAAACCCGACACAAAATATTCGAATCTGGTGTGCTATAAGCGACCCTTGTATAAATGGTCAATCAACCTAACTGCATGTAACTAGTTATCTTTTCATAGACACTTCAACTACTTTAGCACAACTCATCTTCCTCAGCAACTACCATAAGATGTTCCCATACAATCGTTCATGCCTCAATCCTGACATTGCTCCAATGGCGGCACCATCTATTCCCTCACTGCCTCGGTCGCAGCATTGGCTGCTACACGAGTGACCGTGTCATAAGGGTTCTGCCGCCCAGAGAGGTTGCTGTGGCGGAGGTCCATGAGGTACTTGTGGTTGAACCTGTCGCTTCCCCAGTAGCCGTACGCCTTCACTGGCTGTGCCCACATGCTCTTGAGCTCCTCGCACTTGGCCTTGGTTTTCTGCAAAGAGGTGCACCGAAGGAAAGGGAGGGGAGGGGAAAGGGCGAAAAGGGAAGGGAAGGGAAGGGAGGGAAGGGGAGAAGGCGCAGACTGATGAATTGGATGTCGCCATCTCCGGCTCCCTCATCCCAGAAAGGCCCTGGGTTGCCAGAGAAGGACGAAAGGGAAGGACAGAGGATCCATGGGGGCTTCTAACGGCCATAAGGAGTTGAAAGGGGGGATCAGAGATCTATACGTTGGGAATAACATGATCAAGGAGGGGTGGGGAAGGGGAATAGCGGCAGCCAAGACATGAAATAGAGTAAAAATAGAGAACGCGAGAGGAAAAACAAGGGGTGTCTGCAGAGCAGACGAGCAGAAGTTTTGCACATCTCTCTCTAGGAGATGAGTACAGGCAGCTTGCGAATGCTGACACACCAACTCCTGGAAAAGCACTTTCATTACAAAAGATCACAGAGAGGCATAACCAATTTGCACTGGAAGAAAAAGATAGTCGGGAAGAGACTTCCAAGCAGCATCCTCCACCAACCTTACCTGTACCGATGAAAGCTCACCCTATCCCCTCCCTCTCTCCCTTCTTCTCGCATCCCGACCTATCCCGGCCTCCTCTTTCTCAATCCCTCCCCTTTCCCTTGTGTCCCCTCCCATCCACTCTCCCTTCCTCCCCCCTCCCCTCTCTTCCTCCCCCCTCCCCTCCCTCCCGTCTCGACCACTCTCCCTTCCTCCCAGCCTTCCAGCTTCCCTGCCTCTCTCCCTAGCCCGACACTCCAAAACAATGGCCAATCCAAGCTCGCCTCTACAGTCTCCTTCACGACTCCCCCGCCTCTTATCTACCCACGGCCGACGTAATTTAGCCACGTGGATGCTCCCCGGACCTGAGCATATAACCTCATCCATTCCCACTTCGCCACATGATCCTTCGCCGTCGCCGTCACCATTTATCGTCTTTCGCCAACCTAAGGTAACCCTTCACTACTCCCGTCGCTGGAACAAGTGCGCGATACATCCAGTAAGCATTCATCCTCCCTTTACTCTACCCCTTCATTTAATCTTCACGCTGCCTTCAATCAAACCCCAACCTTTCTCCAGCCACGGAGGGAAACCTCACCCGGATTCGCGCAGCGGACCGCTCGTCCCGATCACGCGGATCCTCCATTCCCGCGCGGATAAAATGCTCCACGAACTCCATGATAAACGCCATCTTGTGTCGGTAACTAGTTCGTTAGTAGCGGGTACAAAGGCTCGCAACGAGACGGACGCGAACGGGAGCGAATCTGAGGCAGGAGCACTGGAGAGCGAAACGCGTGAAACGGAAATCCGTGGCGAAAAGGGAACGTGCGAAGGTAACCAGCAAGCTCCCCAGCGCGAGAGTGCGGAAGGCCTAGACGCGGCGGAAGCAAAACTATGGCGGGTAAGGAAGATCCGGAGAAGAGCGTGGGCGGGAAATAAGAGGCGATGGCGGCGGGACCGGCGGACGCTGCGGGGGATGCGGAGGAAGCGGAGGTCGCGGAACAGTGCAGGGGAGGACCTTAGCTGAAACAGAGAAAGTACCGCGCCAGAAGTGATGTGGGAGTGGGGTGAAGGTTGTGGTCCATAAGCTCTGGCGACGCCGAACGAAAATCTGCATTGAGTTACACTATAAACTTGTTATATCGATTGTACATGTACGAGACCTAGAGCCATTACTAATTTCCATTCAGGTTTATGTTGACTACCTAAACTAAGGGCGTGTGGCAAGTAGAAGTCCAAACGATGGGACCGGAACGGAGGTCGGGAAAAACGAGGTACAGGGCGATGTTGTTTGTTTCAAAACGATTGTTGAGAGGTACAGAGGTAAACGACCGGAGGATGGGAGCGGAGGGTCTTAGAACTGAAGAATTCTTGAATAGAGAGAGAGTACAAGGGTATATACCTAAGAGTGTTGTACCCTCTAAGAGGCGACCCTATACAGTCTATACAAACATGAGTTATACTTATGTTTGACACACCCCCTAGACTGCATAGGGGAATGACCTGAACAAGCAGCTCAGGGCGGCACTACTAGTCCAACCTCTGAGACAAGGGTCAAAAAGACCAGTCACACGGAGTTGAGACAAGGCAAGAACAAGACCAGGGCGGCACTATTAGTCCAGCCACTGGGAGAGGACACAAGTCCAGTCTGAGTATGCATATAAAGGACAGTACAAAGTCAAGGCCCTAGCAGGTGAGAGGCTACACGAACTAGACCAAGCTGTACGCAGTGCCGCTGATGATCTTTAGGCGCAAGCGCCTTCGTAAAGATATCAGCTGTGTTGGCACCTGAGGCCAAGTGTACTACGCGAGCCTGGCGTCGCTGCTGTAGCTCGCGCAGGAGGAAGTATCGCAGCTGAATATGCTTTGCTCTGCCCTCGAGTCGAGGCTCCTGACACAGGAGGATCATGGCACTGTTGTCAGCGAACAGGACCGGGGCAGAGCTAGGCCGCTCACCTAAGTCAGTGAGCAAGAAGGTCAGCCAGCGGAGCTCCTGTGCCGCCATGGCACCAGCGTAGATCTCAGCCTCACAGCTGGACTGGGCAACAGACGAGGAGCGGGTAGCTCTCCACGAGACGGCACCTGAGCCAAGGCTGAAGCAGTAGCCCTGGGTAGACCTAAGTGTCTCGGCGTCGTCTGCCCACGAAGCGTCTGTGTGTCCAGTAAGGACCACTGGCCAGCGTCCTCCTAGCACTAACCCCATGCCCGATGTACTAGCAAGATAACGCAAAACCCTCTTAGCGGCAGACCAGTGCTGCGGTCGGTGTCTGCCTGTGGCCACAAAGCGAGCCATGATGGTGAGAGGGTACGCGAGATCTGGGCGAGTGCAAGTCATCAGGTACATGAGGCAACCCACCAGCTCTGCGTAGGGGCCGCTGGGCTCTACCGACTCCTCAGACACTGGAGCGGAGAGTCTGTGGTCCACAGGCAGAGGGGTGGGCTGTGCAGAGGAGAACTGAAGGCTGAACCTCTGAAGGACCTGGCGCACCAAGTGTGACTGAGTCAGGGTGATGGTGTGCGCTGCTCTGTCCCTGGAGATCTGCAAGCCAAGGTAGCGGCGCAGTTCTCCAAGGTCAGTGCACGTGTGTCTCTTCAGCAGCTCTGCCTTCACGGAGGCTAGTGCGTCCCTGTCTGCTGTGGCAAAGACCAGGTCGTCGACGTAAACAAGGATGTAGAACGGAGTCTGGCCAGCACGAACAAAGAGTGAGGGGTCTGCGGAAGCCGGAAAGAACTGCAGGTCAGCAAGCGTAGCACGGAGAGTGTCGTGCCACTCACGGGGAGCCTGGCGCAGGCCGTAGACAGGGCGCTGCAGGAGCCACTGGGTCCCAGGAGGGAAGGTGCCAGTAAAGCCCTGAGGGCGATGCAAGTAGACCTGCTCGTGTAGGCTGCCCTGAAGGAAGGCAGTGGAGAAGTCGAGGGAGTGAAGCTCGTAGTCACGCTGAGCAGCTAGGTGTAACAGAACCCGAAGAGTAGTCATCTTCGGGGTCGGAGCGAAGGTCTGGAAGAAGTCCACCCCCTCACGCTGACTGAAGCCTCTAGCCACGTAGCGCGCCTTGAACACAGGCAGCTCTCCAGGAGGGCGCTTCACCTTGAAGAGCCAGCGGCCATCGACTACGTTCACCCCAGGCGGGGGAACTGCGTCGACGAAGGTGCCGGTGGATCTCCAAGATGCCATCTCCTGCTCCATGGCAGCTATCCACTGAGAGGCCCAAGGTCCCGAGGTCGCCTCAGCGTAAGTGCGAGGGGTCGGGATGTCGAAAGCGTCTGGGTCACCCTCAGGGACTAGCAGCATGGAACAGAGATGGGGAGCAGCCTCGGACAGGAAAGCAAGCTCGAACTGGCGGTCCTCCAGGACGTCACTGCCAAGGGCAGGAGCACCCCCGATAGACGAAGGACAGGCAGGGTCAGAGACCAGAGCGGTGGCGTAGTCAAGGCGGCGGGTAGAGGCGAAGTCAGCGACCGCAGCGACAAGAGCGTCAAGGCACGAGACCGGAACAGACGGGTCGGTAACGAGAGAGGCAAGGACCCGAGGAACAAGAGGACGAGTGGCACGGAGGTAGTCAGACAGCGGGGGGGGTGCAACAACAAGGGAGGACGGAGGAGGCGACGGGAGAAGGGGAGGACGAGACGCGTGGGAACGAAGCAACATAGGGTGGGAGCGCAAGACAGGCGAGGCAGGACGAGCACGGGAGGGACGGTGAGACCAGACGTGCGACGGAGGAGTCGGGTCAGGAGACAGGGGAGGGGACACAGGAGGGGAACGAGGAGGAAGACGGGCCAGGGACGAGTCCGGCGGAGGGAACACAGGGCCGTAGACGGGAAGAGGAGGAGACGGTCGGAGAGGAACAGCCGCAGGGTCAGGGGACAGAAGGCCGAGCAGGCGAAGGGCTGACACCGGCGGGGACTGCTGCTGCGGCGGCACAACGGCGACACCGGGACTGCAAGCGGCTCCGCGGCTACCACCGGCACACTCCACACCAGCACCCCCAGAGGATCCACCCCCAGAGCTACCGGGACTAGCACCCCCAGAGTCAACGAACGGGTGCTGCGACGGCGGCGGCGGCGACGGCAGCGACAACGACGGCTGCAGCGGCGGCAGAGGCGGTGGAGGAGGGAACTGGGGAGGGGACGCCGGGGGAGGGGCGGCCGGCGAGGACTGCGCAGCAAGGGGAAAGCCGAGGAAGACGCAGGGAAGGGTGGGGGCAGTGAGCTTGTCCGTGCCGGAGGCACGGATGTGAGCAAGGCAGCCCCAGACGTGGAACGCAGACGCGTCACCAGGAGATACAGTCCAAAGACGGGTCGGCGAAACCTGCGACTGCTGAGGGTGCGGCCACAGGTTAAGCTCGTGAGAAGCGTAGCGCACAGCGAACGGCCACAGAAAATGGGGTGCACCGGCATGGATCATGGAGGTGCGAGCCACCTCCATGACCAAACCGATGCGTCGCTCAGCGACCCCATTCTGCTGTGGGGAGTCCGGTAGGGTGAACGTCTGGGAGATGCCCTCCGCACGACAAAAGCGACCAAGGACACCTGATGCAAACTCGCCACCACAGTCGGAGTGAAGACGCAAGACAGGGAGACCGCGGTGGACACGCGCAGAGACAAGCCAGGGGATGAGAGCACCAGGCACGTCGGCCTTGCGCTCCAGGGGAAAGACTGTGGTGTAACGAGTAAAGTCGTCGACAAGCACAAGGAAGTAGCGCTCGCGACGCGGCCCATGGACGGGGGCGGGGCCCCAGACGTCCATGTGCAGGGTCTGCAGCGACGCGGCGGTAGGGGGAAACGAGGAGGAGTGAGGGGCACGGTGAAGCCGACCCTCGACGCAAGGCGTGCAAGGTGGGGCTGGGGAGGAGGGAAAAGCGGGGAGAGAACCAGAGAGACCAAGGACGAGACCGTGCTGGGACATGTGACACAGACGCGGGAGCGCAGGGTGACCTAGGCGGTGGTGCCAAAGGAGAGTCGGGTGAGTGAGGGACCGACAGGAGCAGGCAGCAGCAACCTGGGTAGATCAGCCACCTGAGGGAGCGCCCCAGCCAGGGGGGTCACGGTGTCCAGAGTGAACAGGCCGGACACCGGGTCCCGGGGGAACGTGGACAGGGGGGCACCCGTGGCGGCCTCGGTACAGACAGCATACCGCTCGTGACCAGGGAACGTAGTGGTGACGCCAAGGTCCTGGAGGCAGCCGACACCAACTAGGTTCCTGGAGAACGAGGGGATATGCAGACCTGTGAGAGTGCCCGAAGGAACCGCCGGACAGGGAAGGGTGGTGGAACTGCGGGCGACTACCGGACCGCCGGAGGGGTCAGCAAGAGAAACGGCAGCAGGAACAGGAAGCGGCGTCAGTGTGGTGAAGTCGCGGAAGAAACACCGGGTAGCGCCAGAGTCCAAGGTGAAGGAAAGCGAAGCAGAGGCGTCTGGCGACAGAACGACGACGGAAGCACCAAGACTACACAAAGCAGGGGGTCCTACGCCTGACGCAGCAGGGGAGGCTAAGCTAGGCACACCTACACTAGCCGACAGTGAGTAATAAGCGGGAAGCACACTAGAGTCATCAGCATACATCACATGCAGAGCAGAAACAATGGCATCCATGTCCATGTCAAAAATCTGAATCTTACGACTAAGCAAACTGTGCCAGTCCGGGAGGTCTGGCGACGGGCCGAAGCGCTGACGAAACAGGTCGTCCAGGCGACGAAAACAGCGGGGAGTGGAGTGACCGATCTTACCGCAAACGAAGCCGCGGCGAGGACCGGTCTGGATCTGGTACTGACAACGCACGCCTCCAGAACCACCACTCGACACACCACCACGCGCCCGACCACCGCCAGCGCCGGGCCACCCGGACGGGAGGACACTCGTCTGCCTCGTCTGCAGCGGCTGCTGCGAAGGCTGCGGCTGCTGCGACTGCGGCGGCTGCTGCGGCTGCTGCTGCTGCTGCGACTGCAGGGGCGGCGGCTCAGCTGGACTGGGCAGGGTCCCCTCGTCCGCTCCAGCACCAGACGACCCGACTCCACCACCACCCCCTCCCGCACCCCCGCCTCCTCCGCCGCGCCCAACCTTGGGGCGGCGGCCCTTCCCTGAACGAAACTGCGCTGCAGCAGCAGTCTCAGCCATAGCGGCAGAGCCGTCGGAGAAAGTACACTGAGCGGGGGCACAACCCTGAAAGATAGGGACCGGCACGGTACCGCTCGCCTGGGCGATGGAGCGGTGGCGGGTCTCAATCACAGTCAGGGTGTCTACAAAGTCGGTGAGGGTGAGGTCTGCGGGGTGAATGCTAAGGAAGCGGTCGCGGGCGAGAGCAAGGCGGTCAGAGAGGCGGGTGGCAAGCAGGTAAAGGGTAGAGGTAATGGGCGGCTGGTGGGCTCTAAGCTGTGCGTCAGTGCAGGCAGCGCGCCAGGTCTCATCTATCGAGCGCAGGTGGGCAGCGAGGTCAGAGACAGTGGGGAAAGACGCAAGGTCAGGAAAGAGCATCGGGAGGATCAGGCGACCCACCGAGGCAGCTGGAGGGGTGGAATAGCGCTTGATGACAGCATCTAAGTAAGCCTGGGCAGTAGTGAGGGACCTAAAGCGGGAGCGCTCGGACGGGGGAAGGGCATTGCTAATGGCAAGCTGAGCGACAGCATCTCGAGAAAGCCAGACAGAGCGCGCACGAGCAGTGGCAGCAGTAGACTCGCGCTCAGTGGGTGCGGAGTCAGCGAGCAGAACAGCAGGGGGGTCTGGGCAGGGGAGCGTACCGTCAAGGTCTGCGGAAAGCGGTTCACCATCCTGCCGCTGGCCAGTGAGTTGACGCCGGAGGTCGGCAAGCCACGCCTCGAACTCCAGAGGCTGGCCTTCTGCGTCGAAGCGAAGCTCCGCCGCCATCAGGGGAAGTGCAGGACTGTACAGTGCGGTGCAGTGCAGAGCAGGGCAGTGCAGTGCGGTGCAGGGCGGTGCAAGGCGAGGCAGTGCGATGTAGGGCAGTGCAGGGCGGTGCTGTGCGGTGCAGTGCGGTACAGTGCGGTGAAAGGTGGTGGAGAACCGTACCAGGGAGAGTGCAGATCGGACGGTCGTAGAGCCGGCGAGGAAGGGCCGGAAGTCGACGCGGGGCCGGCCGGGACAAGCGCGGGAGCCGGCTCGGACGGGCGCGGGACCGGCAGGGACGGGCGCAGGGCCGGCTGGAACGGGCGCGGGGCCGGCTGGGACAGGCGCGGGGCCGGCTGGGAAAGGCGCGGGCTCGGCTTGGACGGGTGCAGGGGCGGCCTGGACGGGCACGAGGGGCCGGCTGGGACGGTCGCGGGGCCGGCTGGGACGATCGCGGGGCCGGCTGGGACTGTCGCGGGGTCTGCTGGGATGGTCGCGGGGCCGGCTGGGACGGGCGCGGGGCCGGCTGGAACAGGCACGGGGCCGGCTGGGACAGGTGCAGGGGCGGCCTGGACGAGCACGAGGGGCCGGCTGGGACGGGCGCGGGGCCGGCTGGGACGGTCGCGGGGCCGGCTGGGACGGTCGCGGGGCCGGCTCGGACGGTCGCGGGGCCGGCTGGGACGGTCGTGGGGCCGGCTGGGAGCGACGGACGAGGAAGCGCGACGGGCTAGGAAAGGCGCGACGGGCTAGGGAAGGCGCGACGGGCTAGGAGTCGCGCGACAGGGCCAGGAGGCACCAACGGGGGGCCCAGGAGGGGCGTGACGGGTGCTAGGGGGCGCGACGGGCCCAGGGGAGCGCGACGGGGCCCAGGGGAGCGTGACGGGGCCCAGGGAGCGCGACGGAGCCCAGGGAAGCGTGACGGGGCCCAGGGGGCGCGACGGGGCCCAGGGGGGCGTGACGGGGCCCAGGGGGGGGGGCGTGACAGGGCCCAGGGGGGGGCGCGACTGGTCCTAGGTGACGCGACGGGGCCCAGGGGGGCGCGACGGGCCCAGGGGGGGGGCGCGACTGGTCCTAGGTGACGCGACGGGGCCTAGGGGGCGCGACGCACGGGGGTAGATCCTAGGGCGGAAGCGTGGGGGGGGCGGTGGGACCTACCTACTGCTGATACCATCTTAGAACTGAAGAATTGTTCAATAGAGAGAGAGAGTACAAGGGTATATACCTAAGAGTGTTGTACCCTCTAAGAGGCGACCCTATACAGTCTATACAAACATGAGTTATACTTATGTTTGACAGAGGGTCCCTCCGATCGTACTTGCCACACGCCCTAACACATAAACGCCAGATTTACATTTCCCCGACAATCATTTTTGCAATTCGACCATAACGCTAGCCGCGCTTGTGCTGGGTGAGAGCAAATATACCTTGTGTTGCAACTTGATTCGCTGGAAGCTTTCGTTTTTTCACCTGTGGGCCAACAATGGAAAGGCATGAGGATTGAGAAACGATATAAGCTTCTGCCAATGAATTGGAAGCATGTTCTTGGAAGGAGCGAGTTCAGCCTTGGAAAAAGCAGCGAAGACAATCAATGTGGAAAGAAAGCAAGATGCTTCACTATCACGGAATATGCGCATACGCAAATAATGAAAACCTGTGCAGAAGTGCCATATCACCTTGCCATCATTGTTGAAAATCTCGTCAGCCATAGCTTCCTGCTGGCGCTTCCTTTTTTGCTTCTCAATGTACGTCTCCATGTCACCTGTCCGCTGACTGTGTGATGGGGGATACATATCGGAGTGATTCAACAACCATAAAAGAAAACCAAGATGGTCTCGGGGTATCATATCTCAGAGCTCAGTGGTAAGGGTGGTAACTGGTAAGGTGAGGCTGCAGCAATACAGGTGGTCAGTGCTTGCTTAAAGAAACATTCAAACATGTGGGCCATGAACCAAACGAGGTGACTTTTTGAGTCGACTCAAAAGTCAACTCAAAAGTCACCTAGTCGACTCAAAAGTCACCTCAAACATGTGGGCCATGAACCCAACCATCACGAAAGGACAATAATTAATGATAGAAAGAACTGCCTCAACGGCAAATGAGCGCGTATGTATCCTTATGAGGAAAGGGAAGGAAGAGATGTTCAGAGTGGAAAATTCTGAGGGGTTTGGGAAAGAAACGGTTTGAAGGTCGGTGAAGCAAGAGGATAAAAGCAAGCAGGTACAGCAATAAATAGCACACCAGTATGGCTTGGGAGAATAATGCACGAGGACTAAAGGGGTGTTGCCTGGCAGTGCACCCTTCAGGACGGAAGGAAGTGTTGAGAACTGAAGAAAGCAAGCAGGCACAGCAAGCAAGAGCATACCGGTACGGCTTGGGAGAATAATGCACGAGGACTAAAGGGGTGTTGCCTGGCAGTGCACCCTTCAGGACGGAAGGAAGTGTTGAGAACTGAAGAAAGCAAGCAGGCACAGCAAGCAATAGCATACCGGTACGGCTTGGGAGAGTACTGCACAAGAACTCCAGGGGTGTTGCCTGGTGGTGCACCCCTCACCTGAACAGGCATTCATGCAGGGGAGAAGGACAAGGAATAGTTGAGACTGGAAAAACCATGGGGTCAACATTGAGAAAATTACGGGAAAGAGGACGACGGTAACACGACAAGTTAATGAACGCAGAGTCAAGGCAGAAGACTAGCTTCACTGTGCGTGCACAGTAGACCTAGAGAATAAAAGGGAGAGCAGTAAACACAGCCCTTCTCTTCGTCTGACCTTCCGGAATCGCTTGAAGTTGGGTTGGGAAACAGTGAACTGCGTCCCCTGAGTGGCACCACCAGCAGCAGAAGGAGGGAGTGGAGTGAGCCCCAAGCTTCGCATCTGCTGCTGCTGCTGCTGCTGCTGCTGCTGTGCCATGAGGGTTGCAGCAGGGGAATGATGAGGAGAAGGTACCACTACAATCCCTTTGACGAAGACCACCTCGTTTATGAGTTCAGCTGGGAGTGCACTCCCACCACCATGAGCACCACCACTGCCACCACCAGCGCCGCCAGCACCGCCACCACCACCACCATCACAAGCACTCTTACTGCCTTTAAGCTTGCTCTTTACAATCGCCATCCTCTCCCCCCCGGCCAAAACGTCTGCTTCCACCTTTACACTCTTGTTTCCCATGTCCCTCCCCCTCACGCCAGCACTCTCAGCGCTGGCGTTACTGGGAGAGGCAGAGGCAGCAGCAGAGGCGGCAGGAACAGCAGCAGCAGCAGCAGCAATGGTAGCAGGAGCAGTTTGGCTGGCAGAGGATCGAGAGAAGAAGCTCCGAACCTCAGCAGATCGCTTGCCTCTTGCTGCTGCTGCCGCTGCTGCTGCTGGTGACGAAACTGCTGGCGCGGCTTCGGCTTTCAGCGCTGCTGTTTCTGGTACTGCTGGTGCTGCTGGTGCTGCTACTGCTCTGTTTGAAGTTTCTCCTGCTTCTGGCCTTAGCTCACAGTCTCCTTCTGTTCCCGCACGTTCTCCAACACCTTCTGTGCCTTTCTTCCTTGTTCTCTTACCATATCCATCCAGCACACGTGCTGCCAGCCTGCCAACAGCATTTGATGACACCTCTTGTACACCCCGCCCTGCTCGCACCCCTGCTGCTGCTGCTGCTGCTTCTGTCTCGGTGTCTCCCGCAGCAGAACTTGGTGCTGTGCGGAAGGTTGGGGACGACTCGTTGTCTGTCTGACTGTCCTCTGCACCACCACCACCACCAGCGTTGCCAGCACCAGCACCATCCTCTGTGGTGCTGTCACTGTCGTTGGAAGCATCAGAAACCACCACTGCACAGGGAAGGGGACGAATAGATGATGGGAGTGGACGACACAGGAAGGAAGGATGAACTGCCTGTGTTAGAGTGAAGTTCACATGCAGCAGCAGCAGCAGCAGCAGCAGCAGCAGCAGCGGGCAGGCATTACCACCAGCATTGACACCAGCATTGCCACCAATACCATCCTCTGTACTGTTGGAAGCATCAGAGAGCACCACTGCACAGGGAAGGGGACGCAGAGATGATGGGAGTGGACGCAACAGGGGGGGAGGACTTATGCCCTGTGTTTGAAGAATATACAAGACAGGCAGCCGCAGCAGCAGCAACAGCAGCAGCATCGCCACCAGCACCATTTTTTACCGCGCCGTTATGAGCAACATCAGTCACCACCACAGCAAAAGGGGCAAGAGGAGGCAGCGAAAGAAGGGGGGCAGGAGCGGAGGGGGCAGGAAGCGGGAAGAAAGAGGAGGGAGGAAAGAACAAGCAGTGTTGAATGCATTGAGCTTTGCGTGGTTGTGAATCATCACTCACACCAGCTGGCCCCCACACACCCACCCATCACCCCACCCACCAACCCGGGCTTGCATACCCACCCATCCGCACATCCCACCAGTGTCGGCATCTTCCCATGCATCCTTCATTGCTGCGTCCTCGGTCTTGCCGTCTGCCTTGCCACCTTCTGCCTGCCTACGGCTGTCAATCCCATCCAGCCCACTCAACCACAGTGCATCTCAACATCTCACCAGTATCAGCATCTTCAAGAGCGGTGCCCAGTGCTGTGCCTTCTGCCTTGCCCAATGCCTCGCCTTCTTCTCTCGGCCACTCAGGCGCAGCAGTCATGTCCTTCCACCTGCCCATCTGCCCGCTTAGGGCAGCACATACAACCTTGTGTAGTACGGCTACTCGAAGTGATCTGGCAGCAGGTGGGGGCGGGAGTGTGGATAATGCTGCTGGTGCTGCTGTCGCAGCAGCTGCTGCTTCTGCTGCTGCTGCCGCCGCTGCTGCTGCAGCTGCTGCCTTTGCTGCTTTCGTTGCCGCTGCTTTTGCTGCCCTAGTTGCAGTCTTCTTCAGCGGTTTTACAGCTGCCTTTGCTGGGCCGGTATTGAGTGCAGGTGGAGGGGAGGATGGGGGTGAGGAGGAGGAGGAGGAGGCGGGTCTGGTGATGGCTGGCAACCAGCAGAGGAGGGAGCGAGATGAGTGCGGGAGGTGCGAGGGGGGGAGGTGGGAGGCGGTGGGGAGGATGGTTTGCACATGGCCGCCACATGCAGTGATGAGCGCGAGTAGCACTGGTGGGTGGTACTGTGCAGATACACACATGCACACATGCACGCACAGAGACGCACATAGATCCACCAGGTACACGCACACACCCCACACACACAGACACACACGCACGCGCACGCGCACACACACACACACACACACACACACGCACGTGCGCACACACACACACATACACACACACGCGCGCGCCCACACACACACACGCACGCACGTGTGCGCGCGCGTGCACGCACACACACTCTCACACACACACACACACACACACACACACACAGAGGGGAGTATGGAACAGCAGCAGGGGAAGCAAGGGCAAGATAATACAAGTAGGCATAAGGGAAAGGGAGGGAATAGAGGGAGGCAACAGACAGGGAGGCCGGGGCGGAGAGGGTGGGAGAAGGGGTAACCTAGAAGCGCCGAGTGTTCAGTTCGCCCACCTCATTATCCCGTGTGCAAGAAACGAAGAGCACATAACTGAACACCTTCCGTCAATCCTCCACCACACCTCCTCTCCGCCTTCCCCTCCTCTCCCCCCCCCCCTTTCTCCCTTTGAGGAGCCTAAAATATACTCACTTCATTATCCCGTGTGCACGAGACGAAGATCATGTCACTGAATACCTTCCGCCGAACCTCTACCGCACCCAACTCCACCTCCTCTCCACCTACCCCTGCTCCTCCCTCCCCCCTCTCCCTTTCAGAATACCCCTCACTCCCGTCCCCCTCCACAGCTTCTCCTGCTAGACCAGCAGCAGCAGCACCGCCAGCAGCAGCAGCAGCAGCAGCAGAGGGAAGGCGCAGAGCGACAGCAGCAGGCACCCAGAGTCGAGGAGCAAAGGCGGTGGCAGAAGGGATGGGTGCGGTGAGAAGCTTCAAAGAAGATACCTGGGTGTTGTGTAGGGGGAATGGCGGACAGGGGGGCGGGTTGGATCAAGTTGGTAGGGGGAAGGGGGACAGGGAAAAGGGGAGAGGGGAGGGTGGCAGGGGAAATAGGGAGACAGGATGGGGAGAAAAGGAGTTGACACTGGGGATTGCGATTAGAAAAGGTGGTAGAGACGGTGGTAGAGGGCACACGATAGCGATTACACGAAGCACAAGAGCACGCAGATACAAACAGAGTGCCCAGATACAAACAGAGTGCCCAGATACAAACAGAGTGCCCAGATACAAACAGAGTGCCCAGATACAAACAGAGTGCCCAGATACAAACAGAGTGCCCAGATACAAACAGAGTGCCCAGATACAAACAGAGTGCCCAGATACAAACAGAGTGCCCAGATACAAACAGAGTGCCCAGATACAAACAGAGTGCCCAGATACAAACAGAGTGCCCAGATACAAACAGAGTGCCCAGATACAAACAGAGTGCCCAGATACAAACAGAAAAGGCACGGTCTATGAGTGTCTCACTCTCACATACAAACGGTGCTTGGGTATGTAGGGACCATGTAACCACACACCAACCTACTGATGCGCCCACTAAGTCCCCCCATCCTGCCCCCCTTCTTGCCAAACCCCTCCCCTCCATCCAACCCGCGCCCCATTTCCACGCCCCAAGCCCCCTCCCCCAACCACCTACCCTTCCACCCCTACTCCCTTTCCCTCTCCGTACACCCTGTTCCCCCCACGTTCTCAGTACCCATCGGCCAATGCAGCACACACACAAATACTCACTGCATCAAGCCATGCCGTTGTGACTACCGCATGCCGCTCCACGTCAGCACCTGCAGGCTGTGCCGCGTCAGCAGCTGCCACCGCAGCGATGATATGGCGGTCCACCGTTGCGCCATGTGGCACAACCAGGTGCGTGGTCCAAGGCTGCCACACCGGCGAGGAAGGAAGACCTGCTCAAGCGTTGGGTTGGTAGGAGGAGGAAAGGGATGAATGAGAGGGATCAATGACTGACAGGGATTAAAAACGAAGGGCAGATGGTTCGAGGAAGCATGAGAATCCCCCGAGAGGTGCTGAGTTGAGCTGACGAGCAGAGCAACACCGACCACGCATCGCAAGAGAATGCATAGTAGAACAATGCACAGTTCCCAATGAAAAGGCACCGAAAGAGAAACGAAGAGCAAGAGAGAAGGCGGGTGAGGTGGGGAGGAATGCTCACCGCAGTCGGTGCTCTTCTGCATCCACTGCTCCCTCTTCCCTCCAGCGAAGGCTGAGGATGGCAGGCACACGGCCAAGGGTAGGAAAGACGCCCTGCCAATATGGGAGGGTGGATGGATGGGAGAGGGCCAACAGTCCCTCAGGATACACGTGTAGAAGACACTCAAAAGGAGGAGAGGGAGAAAATACGATTTCTGTATGCATGAGCCCGAAGGAGAGAAAAAGGGGAAGGGCGAGGGGGGAGAACGGGAGGGGGAATGGGGGAGGGGGGGTGGAGGGCTGGGAGGGGGAAGGGGAAAGGGGGGAGGGGATGGTGGAGTGTAAAGAGCAGGAAGGCGGAGGGGCTTGGTCCAGACAGCAGAAAGTGACACAGCACAGAATCAAAACTCTCTCCAGGCACACAGACAGCCTTGACACACCTATACTTGGCCGTGTTTGTCCCGAACGTGATCACGTCTCCGTCCCGAACCTCAGCCTCAGCTTCGGGGTTTGTCTTCACCAGCAGCGCAGGAGCTGCTGAATTGGAAGCAGCAGCACCAGTAGCAGTGGAGGCAGGTGAGAGGAAGGCTCCGAGTTTGGACAGATCTTTCACGTGGAGGGAGGGAAAGGCTGGGGGAGCATTGCTGTTGTCGCTGTCACTGCCGTAGCCGTTGTTGTTAGTCTGGCCGAGGTGGTCGTTCAGGTGGGTGGTGGAGGTCCAGCGTACGATGAGATCCGCGTGATGGCGCGACACAGACTTGTCGTCTGCAATGGTGATGTCACAGCCTGAAAGGAGAGCACAGAAAGGGAGAAGGAGCGGGGTGGGGGGGAGGTGGGGAGGGGGGGGGGGGGGGGGGAAGGGGAGAAGAAGACAGAAAGAAGGGGTTGATTGATATGGATGAAACAGGAATGCAGATTGAGAATCTGCGCGGAGTTGATCATGGTCTGTATTCAAGCACAGAACCGCCAAAACGAGGGCATTAACGGCAGTGCCGCAGTGAACAGTACCACAAGGCCAACGTCGCCATCATGGAAGGGCCTTCTGAACTTCTGTAGCTTGATGAAAACGGTCTCATAGGCTAGTGAAGTGAGGCTGTGACGCAAAGCGTACCTTTGCGCCCAACAGTGTATGACTGAGGCCTTGCCAGCACAATAGGCAGAGCTGCAGCCGGAGAGCGGTAAAGGCAAATCCAGTGTGTGGGGGGGGGGGGCAGCATAAGGCGAGATAATCAGACTGCGAATCTAAAAAGTGAGTGTAGATATGTGCATGGAGGGAGGAACATTTCGGTACGTTGGTTTGTTAGAGCCGTCAAACCACAGACGGCAGATGGTCTATCCGTGCTCAGCTAGACCACATTCCTGCTGTAACAATCAACCCATGCATTATGGAATGATAAAACCACATCCGTTCAGCGCAGGAAGCAGAGTCACGTGGAGCATGTGACCACGACAGTAACCGTGAGAATCACTGTTCAAAGCGCCTCCGCACAGCAGCCAGACGCTTTGTGGAAACAGTATAAGGGACCCACACCCAGGTCTGCTCTGGTGGAAAAATGCGGGAAGGAGAATCGCCATGAATCAAAAACACTGAACGGAGCAGGAAAGTAGCAGGCACTGAATAACTAAACCTGAAGGATCGGCAACGGAACGTAGGAGCCAAACCATGGCGGGCTCCTGCGAGATTCAGAGGAGTGCTGCTGCTGCTGCTGCTATTGATGCCGCTGACCGGGGCTGTTACACTGCGTTTGCTCGACGGGGTAGTCTCAGGAACAAAATCCTGCTCTGGCGTGAGTTCCACTTCGAAGCTCGGCTAGTTAGTCACAGGCCAAAGGTGAAGAGAGCCGACAATCAGTTCGCGAAGTGTAGACGATGCGTAACCTTCGAACTACGCGACTGAACGAACAGCAGCAGACTTCATCTTCATCCTGGAATCCAGCAACGGTGAGCCCTACGGGCGACGACTATTCCCAGCTCGTACTGCAGCTGAGCACTCTCCACTGTCCCAGGAGTACGGCCATGTGTGGCCTGTGGTTGATAGTGTGGGGAGAGCACTGGGGTATGCTGCTGGGCTTTCCTTCTGCACCTAGGCGACTGGAAAATATGCATCAGCTAGAGGGTATTCGTTCGTTCATCAGAGAACTTCGTGTCAGCTGGAGTTCGCACAAGAACTTGAGGCTGGTTGACATGACCGACAGTTTCACGTCTAAACATTTATCGTAGAGAAATACTTTATGGTTACTGGGGAATTCGTTGGACGTAATCTCAAAAATAAGAAACATCAAGAATCACAAAGAATGTATGGAGAGCAAAACTCGAATATGGGTATGGGGAACATATGCATATAACATAGTACCGTAAACGCCCGGATATAAGACCGGTTTTATTGAAGACCCATAGGGTGTTTTTGGGGGGTAGGTCTTTTATTATGGTCATCGACTAACAAGACCCTCCCTAAAGGCTGTAGATGGGTTTGGACCCCTCTACTTGGTTTTTTTCATGAATTCAAGCCTAAAATTGTGCACTACAATAACAACTTCCTACTGGTACATGACACACTTAGTTAGAGAACCAGTCAGCACCTAAAACACGAGATTATTGCACTACCACATACCGGTACTACATATTCAGCGGGCTACACAAGACTGTCGGAATACCCTCTACGCCTACAGCATCTTCCACGCCCACTCGTAGTTGCCGCACGTTACAGGCTCTGGCTCTTCATCCTCGTGGTCGTCGTCAGTATCTTCAGCACTAGAGTCGCCATAATCTTCCTCCATGGCAGAGATGCGTTGTGCCAGCGTCATGTGAGGCAGTGGCTCGAATGCGTCAGCAGCAGGTTCTGGTTCAGCGACTGACGCTGGTGGCTCTTCCGCCAAGTCTTGAAACGGGTCGCAGGCCAGAATGTCTTCAGGCACCGCAGGGTCCGGCAACGACTCGTCGTCGTCGTCTGCACCACCATTGTCGTCGTCGGCAGCATTGTCTTCATCCTCGTCAGCGTTCTGCGGGACAGCGGTGTTGTCGCCATCCGCCCCCGCCGCGCCGACATCGTCGTTGACGTCGACTTCGTCAGGGGCCTGCTGCTTGAGATGGCGGAGGATCATATGGTCCTCCGAACCATCCAGTGCGTTGGAGATGCCAGTGACTTTGAACGCTTTCTGGATAAGCGCCACTGGCACCTTCGCCCAAGATCTTCCCACCCAGCGAATAACCTCATCGGGGGGAGGCTTTTTCAGGTTCCCTACGGTGCGGGGGAGGGGATTAAAGAGGAGTGCGTTAGTACTTGTTGAAAACACATCAAGTGTTAGCATCTCATGAGTGGTGCTTGACTGTGAGCATATGGATTTGCGCATTCTCACCGGCTCTGGTGAAAGTGTTGACGCCGACAGTGGCGAACCAATCTTCATACTCTGCCCGCACGGAAGCTTTGAATGACTTGAACACACACACATCGAGAGGCTGTAGAACCGAGGTGCACCCAGCTGGAATGATGGCGGGAGTCATCTTGAACAGGCGCATAGTCTGCTTGACTCCCTCCGTCAAGTGCCCCCGAAACGAGTCGAGCACGACCAGGCTGGCGGGGCGAGGCCTCCCAGGCTGGGGAGCGACATGTGGTGCAAGGACTCGGGTTATCCAGTCCTGCACCATATGCTCGTCCATCCAACCTCTCGGCTGCGCACGGATGATGACATCTGTGCAGACAAGAAAAACAACATTAAAATTAGGACGCATGGCGTTGTCATGAAATGAAGAACATGTCGACCCCGCATGGTAACAAAAAACGCGTCAACTTACTCGATGGGACTGGGATGGAAAGCGGGCGGACGCGCTTGAAGACGACGTACGCGGGCAGCTTCTGGCCCGCAGCCGTGCATGCCAGCATGACGGTTACACGCTCTTTTTCGTAACCGGCGGTCCTGACGTGCACGGTTTTGATACCCCTGTGCTCGACCGTGCGCTCGGTTGGCATTTCCAAGAACAACGCCGTCTGGTCGGCGTTGATCATGAGGGTGTTGGGGATGGCCCTGTTGAATATCTACTTGCGGCAGAAACGCCAGAAACTCTGGGCCTTCGGCTTGATATCTGCCAGACATGGGAGGCACGGGGAAGGACGGAAGACGAGTAAGCATTAGGCCGTTGCACAAGGACAGAAGCGAAAGATGCAGTAGCAGCATGGAAAACACGTGCAATATTAAACCGAGGAGAGAAGTCGAATTCGAGTGGTGAACTCACCGTCGGCCAGGCGTTGGCCAATCTTAGTCTTTACCCTTACTGACAGACCCCACCGTGCACGCATGTGCTGAGACCATCGAGAAGACGCCTTCCAGTCGACTGATGGGTGGTTCTTGGCCATGTAGTTCATGCTCCAGCGACGGATGAGGTTGACCGACACGGGAAGCCCGAGGGTCCGATGATGTAGCAGCTTCCTGTATACCCAAATTTCCATGTCTGCGTATAGCGACCGTCGCCCGCCGCCATGGAGCCGCTTACGGCAGGTTGCAGCTTTCTCGAGTCGCGGGCGGTCTTAAATCCACCTGTGCACGCAAACAGGCTGGACACCCGCCTTTTTAGCGGTGGCACGAGTGGAGAGCTGGTTAGCATCCATGTATTCCAACCACGCCAGCTTCTCCTTCATGGTTCTCGCGCGCCGAAGACCTTTCGAGGCGCGGGACCTTGGCGAGGGGGGGGGATGCGTCGTGGTTAACCTCCCAGTCCTCGTGTGACCTGCGTCCAGTCGGGTAAGAGGGGATAGGAATCAGGGGCTCGCCGTCGTCAGACATGTTTTCAGCTTCAACGGAGTTATCGGCAGCACCCACGCCCGTCGCATCCTCGGCATCGCCCTCGTCGAAGACGCCGTCGAAATTCGCGCAAGGATCGGGCCAGTCTTGGTCACGATAACGCAAGGCCAAAGGAAGGTTGGGAGGCGCCGGCGGCGCTGGCGGGGCAGGTGGCGCTGGCGGCGCCGGAGGTGCGGGGGGAGCGGGAGGCGCTGGTGCGGCATAAACCCATCGGTCAAGCGTCTGTGAGCGTGGGTTATGGCCCTTGATAATGGCCGCAAGCCCACTCCTGGTCACTAGAGGCATTGCGCTGGAGGCTGAGCTAAGTTGGTGCCGACAGTCGCGAATTCACACCAGGATCCCACGACATGGGTGCCATAAATCCAGACGACGATACTAGCGTACGAGTCGCAGAAAGCGACAGCTATGTGAGCGAGAGAACGATGTGCCTGAGTGAAGACGGTTTGGTAGATTGCAAGCATTAGCCAGCAAGGCCCGTGAGAGATGGCGAGCGAGCTGGACGTGACTCTAGTCTCGTTCCCTCCAAAAGGCCCCCACGTTCAAGGCAAGAGAGTCATGGGAGGGAAGCACTCCTCCCGCCCCCTCGACGCAGACGCATGGGACCACTTCAGTTGTGCCCCGCCACAAGACCAGGAATCTTTTCTCTCGGCCGTCGATGCGGCAGAGTAGAGACCCTGGTCGTCGATGTCTGTCAAGTCTGCATGCCAGCGTTGCATATCATCTTGACGGTATCGAAGATGGGAGTTGGTCGATTCCAGTGGAATCTTCTCTCATGAAGTGTAAATGCTGCCGCCACCTGCATTTCCTGTTGGCTGCAGCCTTGAGTTGAGCTCCAGGGTGTCCAAATCCAGACACACAGCTGTCGAGGTGGAATTCGCTCTGGTAGAGGCAAAAATCAATCAACATCTGCGATAGCATGGACACATTTCGAAACAGGGTCTGATACACGCTTTAAATAAATGAATCCCCTTATAAAACGAGAAAGGTCCCGGGTATTGTAATTCCACGTTTCCTTAATAGACTCACCCCCATTTTTTTGTAGTATACGAAAAAAGACCCTAGGGTCATATATCCGGGCGTTTACGGTATCAGGAAGCAGAACAGTTTTGAAAAAAAAAACTGTTATAGTCTGAATGGAAATGCTATCCTTGTAAATAGCATATCTTGAAGACGTCGAAGTTGAGCGTATCTCATGTAACTAGTATACCTTTCACTGTATTTATCGCACAAGATTCCCTCCCAGCTGTATTTGCCGGAGTGCCTAGTGATGTGTTCGATGGAGGGAAGCCGCGGTACGGAATGTTTGTGCATGAGAGCCAACACAATGACAAGGACTCGCAGGTCGCAAGTCTGAAACGGGTCACCGAGTTGCACCCAGAATCCTAAGGCTGGTCGATGACGGAGTGGAGTGGAGATAGCCAAGACCATGTAGTATCATTCAAAGCATTGTATCCTGGCTGCTCACCTACCTTGGCTGCGTCTCATCCACCTTGGCTGCTTTCTTCATTATCCTCATCGTCATCAGCAAGTAGTAGGCACAGTCTCTGGTTCCATTATGCCAGAGGGAGTGATGTGGTTGTGGCTGGTGTGCGTTCTCGTAGCAATCGTAAGAGTGAATTCTTCTATCCCAGCCATATTCACATTTGGAGATTCGACGGCTGATGTAGGTGAAAACAACTACCTTCCCTTTTCTTCGTTCAAGGCGAATTTCATGCCGTATGGAATCAACTACATTCCCATGTCTGGTCGCTTCTCGGATGGAAGACTGGTCGGTGATTTCCTAGGTAAGCTTGCCACCATGCCTGGCGACTTGTTGATCCGTCTAAAATCAGAAGCTCATTTTGTGCTCCGCAGCTCAGTACATTGGCCTTGATCCAGCACCTCCGCTGCACCAACCCAAGGCTAACTTCAGCAGTGGAGTGAACTTTGCATCGGGGGGTTCCACTATAGAAAAAATCACGAATCCGTACCAGGTAAGACCGGGTTATGTGTTTGGCTCCCTTCTGGTATCCCTGTCATCTCCTGACGCCATACGCGTCTTGTGCTTTTCAGTCTATCGGGCTTAGTCGTCAAACATTGGAGTTCATGTTATTCAACAACATTTCCATGTTGAACCGCCAAGTGGGTGACTATATCGCTCATTTAGTTGCAGACTGCGCTTCGGTTCCACGCGACTTAACATGCGCTTTGCGTACAGCAGGATGATGTATTGCGTAGGTCCCTGTTCTTTTTTTCCGCGGGATCCAATGACATCATTTCGTATGCGACAACCACTAACGGTTCCAGTCCGGAAGCATTCATAAAATCTCTCGTGCAGAAAGAAGTTCGGCTCATAAAGGTATGTTCTGACGTTTTCCTCGTACGGTTTTTTCCCCTAAATGTGATCCATCCTCTTACGGTTTCGAATCTCGTACAGAAAATGCACGGTTTGGGAGCACGCAGGTTCCTTATAACTGGTGCGGGTCCCATTGGTTGCACCCCAAGTGTCATGGCCTATGGTCAGGCTCCGAACAATAGTACCTGTGTGGAGTCTGTTAACATTCTTGCAGCAGCTTTCAACATGGCATTGAATCAGACACTCCTAGATATTCATCAAAACCAGCGTCTGCCAAATGCTACGCTATTGTTTGCAAATCCCTACGACCTTGTGTTGGGAGCATCAACTAATCCAGGAAGCTATGGTGAGGAGGTTGTGGGTCACATACATTTCATGTTTTCTTGCCATGCTCGTACTTCTTTCACAAAGTTTGTGTTAATATTGCAGGATTCAAAGTTGGAATCGGGGCTTGCTGTGGCCAAGGGAAGTTGAATGCTGAAGTTTGGTGTGGTCAAGGAAATTCTACAGCATGTCCAACACCTCAAGACTACGTGTATTGGGATGGTTTGCATCCAACACAAGCCATGTACCAGATAGTGGCAATGAGCTTCTGGGAAGGGCCCACTAACTTCATTTCGCCCATGAATTTGAAAGCCCTTAACGTTCAAATCCCTTGAGTGTGGGTGTAAGTAAAAGACGAGTGCTTTTAGAATGATGGGCGAGAGGTTGTGTTTTTACTTCTAATCCGACATCTGTAAATATAACTTCTAGTATAGATGAGACCATATGATGTACATCTTCTCGTGGACAAAGTATAGTCAATGTTAAACTCCTGCGTGGCACAAGATAATAAGCAGAATGCAACCAGCAGTCAATTTGTTACATGGTAGTGAGCGACCTGAAACCTAAAACGAGTCGTGCAGACGGAATCTGCTTAGCTCCAACATTGTCATCAATTCCACCATCAGTGCTTGCCACGACATCTTCTCTGTGATTCCATTTCTTCCCTTCCCCTGGTTTTTGAGGTGTCGCTAGCTACCACTTATGGCGGTGTCGCGGGCAACGCTTGCACCGCGGCCAAGTGCGTATTCGCTGATTGAGCTAGGACCTTCTGGCACTCGAAATTTCTGTCCGAGAAACCTTTCCGTGGCCGGAGCGGAGGTGACCTTGCCTGGACGGGCTGGCAGAAAAGGATCATGGATAAACAGAAACTATCATACACCTTCCGTTAGGCCGAATTCAGGTGTTTGGAACCAGGGCCGGGGCCGTGCGCGCGTCGTTGCTGCTGCTGGAACCGGTGCTGGCGAGAGTGTGAAGGAGCTGAAGCAGCAGCTGCTGCGGGCCGTGGGGGGTACTCAAAGGGGCAAGGTGAAACGCCTGACTTGAGATGCCTGGGAACTGTCTCTATTTAGAAATATGAAAGGAGGAGTCGCCAAGGGAATGGTGGGCCTGGGCAAACTCCGCCTCCTCCTCGAGCGTATTTTCCCCCACCTCCTCACTCTCCTCACCCACCTCACTCCCCGCACTCTCCCCACTCTCCTCACCCTCCTCAAGCTCTGCACTCTCCCCCATGCAGGCTGCGTCCCCCCAGCAGCGGCAGCAGATATTGCGACTAATAGAGGTGAGCACAGGGTGCGTGGGGCAAGGAAATTGAGGGTGCGTGGGGCAAGGGAGTTGAGGGTGCACGGTTTTCCGTGCCTGCTTATGTCCCAAAGTTCACCCCTTAGTTCTCTCCTCCCCCCTCTTCTCCCCCCTGCGCCCCTCTCTTCTTCCCCGTTCCCTCTCTCGTCGTCCCCCGTGTCCCCTCTCTTCTCCCTCTTCTCCCCTCCCTTCCCTCCCTTATCCGTTTCACATCGGTGATTGTGCCGGTCCGCACTACGGCATGGTGGCATGGCAAGCTGAATGCTATGGTGGCATGGTGGCATGGTCGCATGGTCGCATGGTTGCATGAATGGCATGAATGGCACGGTGGTATGGATGGGATGGGATGGTCTCAGCAATTGGAAGCAGCCAATCCAACACCCTCGCCCATGCAGTCTCCACTTCTGGCCGGCACATGGGCTCTCGTCTACATCGCTCCAACTGCAGGTGTGTGTGGTGGCTCATCAATGAGCGATTGGACTCATGGAAGGAATAAAACTAGCAGTGAATCTTTTTCGAGGCAGTGAATACAATCAAACATAAGCCATCTCTTTTACTGATTTCTCTCAAAACCCACCCCCCTTCTCTGCCCCCCTTCGGCCCCCCTCCAGCACCCAACCCACCCGTACCCCACCCATCCTTTCTCCGGCCTTTCTAGCGGCACCCTCGTCAGCGTCCTCCAATGCTCGGGATGCATCGGAGGAAGGGCCTTCTCCTTTTCGAATCATCGTAAACCCTGCCGCCCATCCCTCTTCCTCTGCCCCCCCTCCCTCTCCCCCCAACCTCCCCTTTTTTCCACCCCCCTTTCCACCCCCCCAATCCGCCCTTAATAGCGTCTTCCAACACCCTGGACGCATCAGAAGAGGGGCCTTTCTTGGCCCGTGTAAAGCCTTTGGCACTAGGGGGAGTCAGACAGAAAGCAAGCCTGCAGGTGAGATGGGGAGGGGAGGGAGGGCAGTGGGGGCCAGTGGATGCAATTTCTGAGGCGCCTAAAAAATGTAGGGCCCTTTCCTGGCCGTTGGCGCTAGGAGGGGTCAGACAGTAAGCAAGCCTGCAGGTGAGATGGGGAGGGGAGTGGTGCAAGGGAGGGCAATGAAGGCTTTTTTTCTGTGTGCCGCAACTTTTTCCATCCCACCTCTTTACTCAACCTTGTAGCTGCGTGCGTTTACAGGGACATCTTGTGTCATTGCGTGCATGTTGCTTGGGTTTTTATGCTGAATGGATGGTTGCATGACGCATGGATGGTTGCATGATGCATGGATGGTTGCATGACGCATGGATGGTTGCATGCCGCATGGACGGTTGCATGCTGCATGGATGGTCGCATGCCGCATGGATGGCCGCATGTCAGATAATCCATCCTGAGGAGGGGCGAGCGGAGAACGTGGCATTATTCACAGCATGGGGAGTGGACGGTGCGTGCACAATTCTCATCCCCATCCTCATTCTCAAGTGGTCCTTCGTATCAGATAGGCACTATAAGGTCCTCATTCTCTCATTCTCCCATTCTCTCATTCTCCCATTCTCTCATTCTCCCATTCTCTCATTCTCCCATTCTCTCATTCTCCCATACTCACATCCCCATCCAACCCCACGTTGCTCTTCTCGCCCTCTCCCCGTCTCCTAATGCCTTCATGTTCCTCTGCCATTGATTCCTCCTATTTCTCCTCGCCTCTCCTCTCCTCTCCGCTCCTCTCCTCTCCTAACCTCCCCTCTCCTCTCCTCTCCTCTCCTCTCTTCCGTGTCACACCACGACGAATCTCGTTCCTGGCATGCTGCAAAAGAGAGTGCATGCACATACGTCATACATGGGCGATGGACCACACGTGGGGTGTGGTGCTTCCGAGGCCACTTGCATTCGCGTGTTCCTTTCCTGGCATCCTCCAAAGTAGAGTGCATGCGCGCGTGCACACAGTTTTGAGGCGCCTCAATACTAGGCTCTCACGCGAATTTCGAGGCGCCTCAAAACGAGGCCACCTGCATTCGCACGTTCCATTCCTGGCATCCTCCAAAGTGGTGTGCATACGCACGCGTGTACAGTTTTGAGGCGCCTCAACACCAGACTCTTATCACGAGGATTTTGAGGCGCATCAAAACGAGGCCACCTGCATTCGCGCATTCCCTCCCTGACATCCTCCAAATTATTGTGCATATGCGTGCGCGTACGCATGCAGATAGAGCGCTTGTAACGGTTCTTTGGCACCTCAAGTCGCAAGCAGATAGACCGTCTGTGACAGCTCTTGACAGGTGACCAGTTCGTCCCACTTTTACACCCTCTAAACCCTGTCTAAGCTCACCTCACCGCACTGCACTGCATTGCACCTGCAGACGAGCTGCGCATAGACTCGGAGTGCAAGGCACCAGAAGAGGAGAGCATGCGAGGGGTGCAGTCCACGGTCCGCTTCCTCTCCTTCAAGCTTGCTCTGGGGCCCCTCTTTCCCTTTCTCTCTGTCTGCCCACCCCACCTCACACACCCCACCACACCCCACCACACCCCACCGCATTCCACCGCATCGCACCTGCAGGCGAGCTGCGCATAGATGCGGAGTGCAAGGCACCTGCAGAGGAGAGCAAGCGAGGGGTGCGGTCCACAGTTCGTTTTCTCTCCTTCAAGCTCGCGTTGGGCCCCCTCGGCTTCACCCTGCCTCTCTCCCTCATCTCGCCCACAGGGTATGTTGTTTGCTGCTGCTGTTGCTGCTCCTGCTACTGCTGCTGCTGCTGCTGCTGCTGCTGCTACTGCTGCTGTTCATGATGATAAGGATTGCTGCACTGTGCTGCTGGCTGTTGCTGCTTGTCCGGTGCTCATCTGCTGCTCATCTCGGTCTGTCCATCTTGGAGCTTCACTAGTTCTTGATGTGTGTGCGGTGCGCTGGCTGGCACTTGTTTCGTCTTGGAGCTTCACTTGTTCTTGATGTGTGTGTGGCGCTGCCACATGCAGTCAATGGAAATTTGAGTTGCCTGAGAAGCTGGATGTAGAGAGCTGACTGGTACACCCACATTTAATAGTCTCCATTTTTCCAGTGTCCCTCCCAACGCCTGCCGTGCTGAGGTGGATGAGGAGGAGCGGGTGACAAGAGGGAGGGGCGGAGCGGCACGCACACTCAGACGCACAATCATGCACACTGGAACACACACGCACACTGACTCTGACACTTACATGCGTTTCCCGTTACAATCGTGCTCTTCCATCCATGCCTGCCCGGTCCTTGTCCTCTCAGGTGGATCGATGTTGCGAACATAGATGAGGAGGTGTGTGTGGCCAGGGATAAAGTGGTGCACGCATGCTTCCTTCCGCTCCCACTCCCACTCCTGCTTTATTCCCGCTCCCCTTGCTTGTATTCCCGCCTTCCAACGTTTCCAGGTGGATTGACCTCACGTGCATAGTTGAGGATTTGCGGGATAAGGGAGAAGGGCAGTGCGTGTGTGTGTGTGTGCTACTGCTGCACTCTCATTACTGCTTTCATCCCACCTGCCCCTCGCTGGTGTCACGTACACAGATGAGGAGGTGCATGTGACCAGGGGAAGGGGAAGGCACGCAAGCACGTGACGGTTTCTTGCTGTGCTCTGTTGCTTGCAGGTGGATCGATGTCGCGTACATAGATGAGGAGGTGCGAGTGGCAGGGATAAAGTGGTGCATACAAGATTCCTTCCGCTCCCACTCCCAACCAATGTGTGTAGGTGGATCGATGTCACGTACATAGATGAGGAGGTGCGCGTGACCCGGGGCGACAAGGGCTCTGTGTTCCTTGCCACGCGCGTCAAGGCTTGAGGAAGGGATGTGAGGAGGAGGGGTGGGGATGGTGAGGAGGGAGGGATGTGAGGAAGGTTGGTACGAGTACGGGTACTGTGCAGGGCTCAAATTAGCCGGGTAAAATGCCCTGATTGCCCTGATTTTTCAGGGCATTTTTTCATTTGGTCTTAAAAATCAGACTTACGAAATTTATTACCCTGATCCAAAAAGTGTTACGAAAATATTACCCTGCCGAAACTAGGGTTGCGGGGCCCCGAACCCTGACCCTTCAGGGCGTCCTGAAAACTACCCTGGTATCGAAACTCCGAGATTCCGACTAAGTCCTTGGCGGCCAGAAACATTTCCCCCAAAACACCCTGCAACCAAAAATTTCGACGAAGTCCCTGGCAGCCAGAGTCATTCCTCCCACCCCACGCACCATGCAAGCCAGCAATTTCGGCTAAGTCGTAGCCAGAGTCATAGCTCCCTCACCCCCTCGCAACCCAGAAATGGCTAAGTCCCCCACAAGAGACATGCCTCCCAACCACACCCCCGCTACCTTTTTTTTTTCGCTAAGTCCTCCACACCACAGCAAGACACGTCACGTCGTATACGCCCTTCTGACACCCAACCAATCACGAGCAGATGGTTTTTTTCCCGCCCCTCTGCCGCCCATGTAAATCTGATTCCCCTCTCGCGCCCCAGAATCGTTTTCCGTCCCATCCCATCCCCCAATCTCCCCCAACACGCGCAAATCCGCTACACCCTTCTTTCCACACCTCAGTGCAGCCCACTTCATTCATGTAAAATGTTCCTTAAATGGCCAAGGCTAGAAAGGGTGCAAAGAGTTCTACACTTGAAGCAAAGACTTCGAATTTTTTTACCCTGCCAAATCAGACTTAGAATTTTTTTAGCTCTGACCGTCAGGGCATTTTTTTTTTCCTACTCTGATCTCAAAGAGTGGCCTAAAACCAATTTTGGGCCCTGGTACTGTGCAATGCGGGGGAGGGTGCACTGGCTGATGCGATGGCACTGCACTGCTCAGTTATGGTAAACACGGCTGTGTACAGATGGAGTTTGATTGCTGGTAAGCTGTTGGGATGTGATCGGGACTCGGTATCGGTATTTCTGCACTATGCTTACAGGGTTCGTGTCTTCATTGAAGTCAGATGTGTTACACTATATCCTTGTCATGGCACATCAGTTACCAGGTCATGGCAGCTCTGGCCAGCTATTTGTGGTCAAGCACACTTTCAATACACTGAAACACTAAATCTGGAAATGTTGCACTTACCTGCAAGCACACATTGTTAGAATAGCGAAGTAAACTCCAGGAAGGGGTACAGGCGGAAAATATGGTTTGGTGTTGTACTCTCTAAGAGCACTTACCCATCTAGTCTATAATTGCATCATATAGCACATGCATAAGTTGACACCAAGGCTTCATAAGAGCGTGTTCCTACGAGCCTCTTCCCAGGCAGGCCCCCAAATTGGTTTTGGGGGTGTCTGATTCATCAGACTTGCTTGTCATCCCTTGGTATGGCCATCAGAGTCTCCCCTTAAAAAAAGTCTGAAAAATCAGAGTAACAAGAGATTTTTTGTCTGATTATTCAGAGTTACCATTAATTTTTACGCTGATTTTAAAACTGGTGTTCTGTATGTCTATTTTCTCCTTCCCTTACCTAATCCAGGGGCTTTATCTTCTTGCGTTCTCTTGCTAACTGTGTGCTGGCGACAGCACACAGAATTTCGCGTCACCCTCGACCCGGCCCCGCGCCAGCGCTAATGGGGCGGGCGGAAAGGATTGGGGGGGCAGGCAAAGTAAAATTGCAGGGAGGGAGGGAAATCGCGCCATCCATGTGGCTATTTCGTGAAGGGCCAATGGGCGCCCTCACACACACAACCCCCAGCAAACATCGGTATTTTTTTTCAAGGGCCAATCGGCCCCTCACACTCGCACCCTGTGTTAAAAATATATAAGTTATAATTTAATATAGGCTTGGTAGGTTGTTACTGAACCTTTCTGTAGAGGGTACAAACCACTTCTTGTACTCTTCTCTCTTCCTAAACAAGCCCCCTTTCTTCTCGACTTTCTCTCCCTTCCTAGATCCGTTTTTCCTCACGCCATTCCATGGCGGCCTTCTTCCTAGTATCCTAGCCAACCTAGCCTCCTAAGTTTAAGAACCTTGAGTCCTAAGTTTCTAAGATGGTATCAGAGCAGGAGATCCTCCCTGTTGGATCGCCTCCTCACGCTTCCGCAATTTACTCCTCACTCTCATTTGCTCGAGCGGCCATGGCGGCCGCGTTTTGCTGCAGTGGCGACGTCGCGCTGCCACTGGCCGCGTCGTGCCGCGACCGGCTCGACGCGCTGCCGTGGCGTCGGGCCGTCGTTCTGCAGTCGCAGCGTCGACGTCCCGCTGCGGCATCGACGCTGCCTCTGCCGTCGCGACGTCGACGTCCTGCTGCAGCGTTGACGGCGCCGTCGGGCCGCAGCCGGTTGCGTCGACGCTTTGCCGTGGCAGCGTCACCTTGCTGCCGTTGCAGCGTCGGCGTGCCGCCACAGCGTCGACGCCGCGCCCTGGCGGCGTCGTCATGCTGCCGCGGCAGCGTGGATGGGCGGCAGCGGGCAGCACGCCGTCGTAACCGCCACCTGCCCGCCCTCCTGCCAGTAAGCGCCGCGCCACTTATGGCGCGTCGCTGAAGACTCGCCTCGCCCCGCCCCCCTCCCCTCCCCCCCCCACCTGCACCTGCTTCCCCTGCATCCCCCCCTTTCTTGCTGCAGCCGCTGACTGCCATGTGAGGGACCTCTCCACCGCCGAGGAGACAGGACATGCCGCCGAGAGGGCGGGGGCCGCCGCACCAGCCTCTGTCGTTCGAGCCCCCGGCGCCGCCGCTGTTGCCGCAGGCCTGGAGCCGCCGCACACCGCCGCCGCCGCCGCTGTCGTCACTGTCGCTGCTGCCGCCATTGCCGTCTCAAAGGGCCGTGAGACCTACCCTCTTCCGGAGTCGTTGCGGCTCCTGCTGGGAATGGGGGTGCTGGGCTAGGGGGTGTGGGTGTGGGTGTGGGTGTTGGGGTGTGCATGGGCTTGACACTACCAAGCCTAGGGGGTGTGTTAAAAATATATAAGTTATAATTTAATATAGGCTTGGTAGGTTGTTACTGAACCTTTCTGTAGAGGGTACAAACCACTTCTTGTACTCTTCTCTCTTCCTAAACAAGCCCCCTTTCTTCTCGACTTTCTCTCCCTTCCTAGATCCGTTTTTCCTCACGCCATTCCATGGCGGCCTTCTTCCTAGTATCCTAGCCAACCTAGCCTCCTAAGTTTAAGAACCTTGAGTCCTAAGTTTCTAAGACCCTGCACAAAGTGGGAAGTGATTTTTGTGAAGGGCCAGTGGCTCCCTCATACAGCCCCCATTACGCACTGGCCTTCAATTTTGGTGAAGGGCCGGTAACCGCCCTCACAAAGCCCCTCGCAAGCATCGCGCTCTGATTTTGGCTAAGGGCCAATCAGCATCCCTCACAGGTAAATCTCGCTCCTCCGGTATTACACAAATCAGAGTCATCCCCCCATACAAGGTTGAGGCATCAGAGTACACTAGTAGAAAAAAGTCTGAAAAATCAGCGTAGGTACATAAATCTTCTCTAAAAAATCAGAGTCAAGTACAAAAAAAAGTCTTCCCAATCAGAGTACACCCTCAAAAAAAGTCTGAAAAAAGTCTGAATCAGAGTAAAAAGTCTGCAATTTGGGGGCCTGTTCCCAGGCAACCTCTTCCCAAACTCACGCGCGACCTTGATAGCGTGTTCCCAGTGTAATATTTTGACAGGTGTTGCAGAAGACTAAGTATAGAATCTGCAAACACGAACACTTGGAAAACATGAATAATTTTTTAGGAATAAAAAATTAACAGATTGTGATTCGATTTGAAGAAGAGTTTTGCTGTAAAGGAGACAAGCTCCTTCACATTCTCGCAGGTCCGATGGACTTGCCACCTAGTCTCATTCTCATTTCTCTTCTCTGATTGCTTACTACCATCAGCACACTCTAAACCAGGGCTCACGCTAAGCTTTTTTGGAGCTCTGTTTCTCCCGGATTCCCCACCCCCCTGCACCCTGATTCGTCCGGATTTCAGGGTAGTTGATTTCTGTTTCATCCGGATTCGGGTACAAAGTTACTTTTTGCCAAGTTACAGCAAACATTGACTCGGACATGTCACGATGTTCAAGGTCGAAACAGGGTAACATTTGCGGCGTGCCAGAAAAATTAAGTACTTTTGGATTTGCTACGTAAAGTGTGTTAATGTCTTCCGCCAGTTTTCTGACAAACCCGCTAAAGTAGGGTAGAATCTGTGTCAGCAACCTTCACAACTTTCTGGGTTGCAAGAAGGGGAAAAGGGGAATGTGGCTAAACGTTTTTAGCCAAGTCTTCCTAGCTGCGTAGGCATGCGGGGCTGTAGGAGGAATTTGCCAGTCTGTGAGGGACGCCAAATATTCTAGGTTTAGGAGGAGTCTCTCTGTGTAAAACTCTCTAGGTGTAAGGGAAACTTAGCCAAATTCTCTATGTTATAGGGTAAAGGCAGGAATGTTCCTGCAATGAGGACTAGCCGAAATTTATAAGTTTCGTGGGTGTGGGTAGGAGGCCTATCTCTATTTGGGAGGGACTTATCCGAATTCCTCTATGGTCCAGGAAGGAATGTTCCTGGCTGTGACAAACTTAGCCGAAAATTCTAGGTTACGGGTGGTGCGGGTGAGAGGAGTACGGTATGTCTGTGTGTGGGGGACTTCGCCAATTTTGCTTGGTTGCGGGGTTAAGGAAGGAATGCTGCTGGAAGTTGGGGACTTAGCCGAATTTTCTGAGTTGTGCGGGTGTGGGAGGAGTTATAACTGCGTGTGAGGGACTTAGCCGAATTTCTAGGGTTCGGGGGCTCCGTGCAATTGTTTCTGAAAGTTGGGGACTTAGCCGGTAAAATGTCTCTGCCACCCTGGGTGCGAGGAGGGGGGAAGGGGAGGTTGGGGGGGGGGGGGGGGGGGGGGACGTATTTATTGGCAGTTGCAGCCGGATTGCCCCCCCAGTGAATTCTGATCTGCCCGGAGCCCCCCGTAACGCCACTTCTATAAATTCCGGAAACCCCGATAACTCGACCCGTTCAAATTCCGGAACGAGCCCAGCGCCAACTCTTAATGTTTTTTCATTCCGGGTAATTACCCTTGAAAAATGGGCCCTGCTCTAAACCCCTCCTATGCCCAGGAGCACGCTACTT